AATGCAGCGCCCTTCCGCTCCAACTCGGTCAGATCTACGCCTCTCAGAGCCGTTTCTGACCAAGGCCTCAGCCCTATGGTGCGGAGTGTGGAGCGCTCCTCTTTTCTGGCTCAAAGTGCAAGATCTTCGGCCTTGCAGTCCACAAAGAGACAGAGACTCTGCTCTGAGGTTGAAGGGGATTCTCTACCTGCTTGCTCCCCTGCTCGTAGTCGCTTCTTTGCTCCTACTTCTGAACAAACTAGCCCTAGCGGCCAAAAACTCTCCCGGTCAAAACGGTCACGAAAATCGGTGATAGGTGTCTTCTCTGATGAAATGGCGGAAGACATAATGTCCAGCATTCCCGATCCCAGTACTACTCCTGGGCCTGCCGGGGCTAGTCCCGATAGCAACCCTGAGATATCTGGCAAGCTCAGTGAAGTTGAAACAGCTTCTAATCCCACTCCAAACAAAACCTTGATCTCAGAGCAGCTCAAAATATCTCATAAGAGCCCCAGGGATACCACACCGAACTCTCCAGATTTCAGTCAGGCTCTTGACTATCACGTTGACCGACAAAACTCGAGTGTACTTTCCAAGTTTACTTTTCAAGCGGGACCCAAGCCTGAAACAACCGCAAATAGTCCTATCATGACTAAGGTTCCTGCGATTCCGATATCTCATAGACCTTCAACGCCCTCGACCCCCAGAAGCCCAGCTGCCATTTCACGGAGCAACGTTTTTCAACGACGACTGACACCGCTCCAGCGGATGGGACAATCCGCTCTCAGTCGATCTAACAGCATCAACATTCCCACTAAACTCCGGGATGCGGAAACTGCTCAGCCTCGAACCGAAGCTTCTTCTCCTGTCATACGCAAGGGGTCCTCTTTTACGGGAACCCAGGGCAGCGAAGATCTCATTGTCCCAGACAGTGAGGATGAAGAGGACGAGGACGAACCCAGCACAGGGCACTCGACTACTCTTGATCTCAAACGCTTTTCTTTCGCCGCACATTAGGCTGCATCTCTATTTGATTACGGAGCATTAGGATATGAACATCAGGTCTTGGTATCCGGGGTAGCATTGGACCACCGGTTTGGTGGGTTCCACTTTGGCGCGTAACCTGTGGTGTTGATATTTTTTTTTAATTGGGGTTATTGTTTAACATAGCGTTGGTTAGGTTTGAAAATCATAGCATCTTGAAACATTAAAACGTGCCCAATCCGTAAATTGTACATCCAAGTTAGCGTAGACGGCCCAATATCTAAGAGGCTGGGTGAATCGCGTGGCTTGCGGAAGTGGGGCGAAGGTTATCGGGATCTGCACTAGCACAGATTGGGACTAACACCGCCCAGACTTTCCCGTGTGAGCGGGCAGAATGACCCACATGGAAGGCGGTCTGATCTGGTTACCGGGGAAGCGGGAGAGTAAACAAGAGCGGTTGGCCCAGCCTCCTAGATTTCCTATACTCTTGCCTCATCCCCAGCCTCCAGAGAGATTCAGAGAATCTGTCAATTAGTCTGACGTTGAGTTTTGTGCTTGCTACGATCCCTTCCTTCCCTCCCTTCCATTCTTTCTACACATTCCCTCTCTTTCATATACTTCCCACCTGTACTACACACAGGCGTCAAGTCATATCACATCTCTGACCAATCTGGATAATCCACTTTAGGTGCGATCGGGATTCCACACTATTACCAAATATTTTGGATTATTTTCAAAGTCTTCTCAGCGCTGAATACGTCTTGAACGATCCGATCTCTATCCAACTCTCCACATTCTTCATCTACATTCCAATTCCAACGATCGCGATCTCGATTCACTTTGTTATCACCATCAGACGAGCCAACAAAAGTGCGCCACGGGGTGTACAATTGAGTTCTGTGATCGCAGTCGATTGTGGCAACTCCTTCTCGGAGACCCGAGAAGCGAGTCGAAAAAAAAAGTGAAGGAGTCCGACCTCGAGGTGGTCCTAGTTGAACACAATGGCTGCTCCCTTTGCTCAAAAATGGGCCCGTAAGTGATCACATATAGAGAGTGAGCATACAATGGGATTGTCATTAATTCTTGATGCAGGGTTCATTCCAATGATCGGGTACCACCATGTGTTGATGATCATCATTGCAGTTGCTATTATCTTGTTATGTGAGTGCCTATCTTGGTTAATGCCCTCTGCCGGAATGTAGCTAACTAATTGCAGCACTTCTGTTGGCCGGCTGCTCTTCATCGTCCCCACAGATCCCTAATATCTTCCTTATCTCCTTATACTATGAAAAGTATAACCCCATTAGGGATCTCGCGCAAGTTGACCCAGGTGTTGTGACCGCCCTTTCCAATATCGTCGGGGGCGCAGAGTTGGAAGTCCGAGTGGGATACTTTGGTATCTGTGTCCAGCCCGATAAAGGTTCCTTCATTTGCAATGCCAACGCGACGGCGCTGGCTGAAATTGTTACTGTGGATCAAGATCCACTGAACCTGATCTGGGTTGCATCGACGTTCAAAGATGCTGTTGTGTTCCCCTATCTCCTGTGAGTAACCTGAGCTTTCTTATTGCTGGATAATACTAATTGTTGTACAGAATTGTTGCTGTCATTCTCGCATTCTTCTGCTTCATCCTTCTGGCGACATTCCCTGGCTGGCACGAGGAGGTCGATGACTCTGGATCTGAGCGTGAAGTTAAGCCTTTCCCCTCGCGGCCTGTCTCCCAGGCTGCGCTTGCCCTGATTTTTGTCTCCTCGGTGTTTGTTCTGGTGTCCGTACTATGGCAGCACACAGCGTCTGTCGCTGCCAGTACGATAGCCCAAGACATGGGGAATGGAAGTGTGAAGAGCGGCGTCGGCTCATCTGCAATGGTACTTGGCTGGTTTGGCTTTGTCCTGCTAGTCATAGTAACTGTGGGCTTGCTGGTCATGATCTTGAGTATTAGTCTGATCCGCAAATTGACCGACGAGGAATAATCAAATTGATTGTTCCTCAACGCCGAAGCAAGGAATACTTGCTCTCTTCGCTTTTGTTTTTCTTCTCGCGACTTGCTTACACCTACCTCTTCTTCGCCTACGACATACCTTACCCTTATAACGGGACGACACAAATGGGAAATGAATAATACCTACGAGCACACGACACTGGCTCAATTCACGGAATGGACGGGAACGGAACACACGACACGGGGGACATTTTGATCTCCCCACGGGGAATTTGGGATTTGGACAATTGATTTTTACGAACATATTTGAGGATATGGACCTCGCATGGTTTTCTCGCGATTTGATACGAGTCATCTTTGTCGCTTCATCTCCTCGAGAATCATATTGGCAACTCTGCCAATCTGCCAGGATAGAATGAATGCAATGCCATCGAGTCACATTTTGTACAGATTTCTTTTGCTGGTGTTTTTTCTTTCTTTCTTTCTTCCTTTTTTTTTTGAGTGGACTTTTGTTTTATGTTCAGCACACGGCGTTTGTTTGATCCGGTCATGTATACCACAGCCTCTTGTTTATTCCCACGCTGTGTTCGCCTTTTGCTTCTCACGCAGAACTGCAAATGCTAGTTAGTCCTTATGATACAATGTCAAAAATGATACCAAAGTCAAGACTTCATAACTCAATCCCTGTAAGTGGTCACTTTGCAAATATTAGGAAGTTCTTTCACGATATTTTATGTTTACACCTAGAATATAGGGACCTGTGAAAATCAGGGCGAAAATGACAGCTTCTGGCGCCAGAAACAGCTGTAATTTCCTGTGGCAAGCTGTTCGACCGCCCCATCACCCTGGGCTCATCCATCCATGGATGTTGGCCCTGGACCTCAACAACCTGTTCTCCTCATTTCCACTCACGGCCGAACCTGCGTCTAAAGTGGCTCCCCTTTACAGCAGCTAGAACCCGTTTTCACGTTAACGTTTCTCAGTTAATTCTTGGATCACTATAGGGGTTACTATCAACAACCAGCAGAACGTTGGATGCGCGGGAGACCCGAGATGCTGTGTAAGAAGGTGATTAGTATAATAGTTGGATAGAAGGTATTTCCAAAGGCGTTTCAATGCGGCCATTCTCGTCTCTGCTTCACAGTCTTCTAACCCACATCATGGTTGCCAAGTGGACTAGCCTCTGAATTTTTGAGCTTAGTGCCGTCATCTCTTCTCTTCAGGAATGAGTAGGAGCAGTGTGTACCGATGGCCCCTGTCAAACGTGCTTCAGGGTCAGCTGGTGGAAAAATGGAATACGGGATCGCCCTCCATTCAATGCAAGACATACATGCGGGGAGATCTGTCGCTAGTGCATCCTGTTCGAGAATCTTATTGAAGGTTATTATCCTTGTCTGTATTTGTCGAGTTCTGGTATCGTGTCTTGTCGCTAGGATCCGTGCTTATGATAGCAACTGCATCTTTTTCCTTGTTTTTCAATAGCCGCAAATAGTCAGAGATAGAGCTTTTGTTTACGGTGATATATGCTGCCGCCTGGGTAACAGCTAACGGGAGATATTCCAGCTCCGTGAGAAGATTCGTCACGATCTCGTGGTTGTAAGAAGGACTCTTTCGAACCAATGACTTCCCTAACAACTCCACCGTCTCCTGTTATCTTGTTATCTCAATCACATCGCTGCCCGCCAGGTGTTGCGCTGCGCCTCCATGTCGTGTCATGAATATGGCCAGGCCGTACTTAAAGGCAAGGTCGAGGAAATTGGAAGATGTAGTAAGACTAGATATACAGGCAACGAATGGTATCACCAGTTGGCTAGAGAGGAGACGGACACCACGCGAAAAAAACAGTTCAATTGAGCTACTAGTTATTGCGAGAGCAATCATCTGATAACTTCGCGTCTTCCGTTGGAACATCAGAGGAAAGAGCAGTTTTCGCATGATGAATAAGCTATCTTAGTGCCTGCTCTGTTGCCTCCTGTTACACTGAATGCCTAACTAGTATTTCCATTCCTGACCAAGGCTTTCAACGTCACCCAGACTGCAGCTCTTTATCATTGGGACTATCAACTTTGTCGCCATGTGTGCCACTCACATTGACCTATTCTCTCTCGAGGCTACGCTGGTCCGCAAACTGGCCCCCACCTCCACTACCATGTTCTTGCATAGAGGAGCCAATGCCTTCCAGTCCGTAAGTTTGCTTCTTGCGGCCATGCGCGCCGTTATGCCTGATCTCGGTGTTGGTCTGACCCTGCATCGGTGTCCCTAGGCCGCGGTTCACATCACCCGAGGTGGCTCCTAGTAATGTATCCGCCGCCGATGTGTAGGTGGCGACCTCATCTTCTTCTCCCTCACTCACATTGGGATTGTTGGCTTGGCCGGGAATTGAGGAAATGGGGTTGGGGGTATATGAGTTGCTTGCTGGGGCTGCCCCGGAAGGGAATGGCTGCGCATGGTATTCGGGGTGATAATCAGCTTCATTGATTTTACGACCGAGTTGATGCTGCAGGCTTGGTTAATGCAAAGTAGATGTCGTGAGTGTGCAAGTCAAAACATACACCCTTAGTGGTCATTGGCTCTCCGCGAGGGGCTGTGGGGTTAAAAGCACCCTGTTTGGCATTCGCGGCGTTATTGGCTTTCGAGGAGTGACTCATGCTGAATATATTTCCTTTGTAGGCTGAGAATCAGCAAAGAATCAGACTACAATAATCGTCTTTATATACTTCAAGATTACATACGTAAGTCCCAATGTTTGGAAAATATATATATTTTTTTCAGATAATCGTTCGGAGGCAAGTGTTACAATTTGATGTCATATGCACTTCATCTCTCCACCTTGGAGAACTTGCAGCAATACACGGCTAGAACCTTTCTTATGTCAATTGTGCTAATTTGCTATAATGTGGTATATACCACATAGTTACATCATTCTTGTTCGAAGCAGCCTATGTCAGGCTGCTTTACTTCATTCGAAGAGCGCCGAGACACCATTAAAGTTTGAATAACTGGATGTACTTTGGTTTGACGGCATCAATTGTACCCTAAAACCTGATTCATCCTCCTGGTGGCATCTCTATCAATCATAGGAACCGGAATTTGACCTTTCGTGATGGCCAGACCGACGATAGAAGATCTGAGAAGCTTCTTTCCAATCGAAATGATAATAGGGCGAGATGCTTGTGTCATTACTAAGGACCAAAGACTAAACTATTCTCCTTCAAATAGTTCAACGTACTAGTTCGTAGCGGAAGACTTACATTCAATTGACTTTATGTACAATATTGTGCGTAAATAGAGTGGAACTGCATTACAATAATCAATTTAATGGGTATCATGTATTATTTTCACTCTATAATATCCAGCAACGTTGATAAGCTACGTAGGACAGGACATTTTGGAACATTTGGTATTCTGGTCATACAATAAGCCAGTACCGCTCGCATGAAATACATGGCCCATCACAACAACCCAAACTAAAATATAGTGACTGCTTTGATTTATCTCTTATTCGGTGTCATCAACTTCTAAGGTGCCTGGATTGTGTGCCACCATTTTACCATCCTTATTCTCGAAGCGTACCTGTTCAAAGACAAAATGTCCTCAGCATGCATACATCGAGTCAAATCCCCGGGTCATCTTATTCTACTCACTTTTGGCGGATTTTTCACACCAACCTCTTCCGCTCGTTGCAGATCTGTGATTATCTCTTCCACCTAAACATATTGTGAGAATAGAACTCCGATAAAGAGTTGTCCATAAGTCGTCGTTTACTAACACGTCCTTCATGTGTTCCGCCACGGATTTTGGTAGAAACATAATCGCCATGATCAATAACATTTCCGTATTTGTCTGTGACTTTGTTATCACCCATGATGTTCAGTGTTTCAGGCAAGTATGGAATATAGAGAACAATTCAAATTGAGTATACTAAGATATCGGGACCATAGCATCTCGCTATATATACATATATGGATGGCAGTCTGCAGAATCACAATGATCTCATATGTACATCATCTCCACATGACCGTCTAACTTTGCCGCCGCAAACAGATGGGACTACCAGTACGCCCTGGCCTGACGCCAATAAGCCAGCCTAAGTTGGGTCAGCTTTGGTGACGGAGACCGTAGTTACCAGAGTGGCGAGCTGACCTGGTGAGATAAACGGATGGATAAAGGCACGTCCATGACAACATCTGCAACGTCCATATTGCACGAATATCTTGTTAACTGCGTAGTCAAAATAGAAGATACTCCGGAGCAATCATTATGATATATTTGTAATTCATGACGTGTATCACATCCTGGGAATTCTTCATTGGTTCGTTAGTTCATCCCAAGGGTAGAGGTCTACCCAATCCTAAACATCGAGGAAATGTGAACATATTTCCCGTTTCTCTGCGAGAGAAGTCCCCGAACTTGGTATAAAACCTGCCACCGCACTATTCTTGGGAAAAATCAGGTTCTAGTCACGCAGTAGTCTAACGGAGAGGGTAATGTTTCGACATACGTTGACATCAACATGAGTCGTTTACCTAGACCTCTACGGAATTTACCCAAAATATATTTGTTTTTCCCCATTGAAGTTGACTGCAATATGTATTGGTTCTTTTCATCGATTTTAACCTGGCTTTGGCCACCTAACCCTTGGTCCCCGTATCCCAAATCGAGAGCCAGAATTCATTGTAGGGAGAAAACGACTGCGGAGACGACGCTAGAACAAACTGGAGACATAAATACTCTACAAAGATTCCGATATCGAGTCCACCTGGAAATCAAATATACCCATCCAACTCTAATAAAGAAATTCTTAGACACGGAACAAGACCTCCGACATTACACCCAAGAAGAGTTATTTGTGCTGAGCATGATGATGGATCCGAAAAAACGAAAGCCTTGCTCAATTATGTAAGACAATTTGGATAATTTGGAAACTTACTCAAGAATGGTGGGACCACCGAAGTGAATTTGGAGAAGGGGTTGTGTCGAGGGCATTGGACTTGCGGTGGTCAAATCCTGCATGGTATATGCATGAGGTGCTAGTTCAAGACTATGTGACGAAGCAAGGATGTTGTTCTCGGGGATGTGGATGCTGCCGAACAGCTGGAGGCTTTGAGCTCACCAAAGAGGAAGAAAATGAAATCTACGACGCCCTTGATTTCCAGGCAAATATGAACTTTTACGATCGGATTGAGTTGGCTTCTATCTGGGGACTACACTTGGATAGATATGAGAGCCCCTTTGATCTCATCAAGTCCGGATGTGAACATGATGATGGAAATGACAAGTTATGCAGTAGGAGAAGCACCTTCTGTTAGGGGTACTCCCAAGCCCAACCGCCGTAGAAAGCAAGCCCCACACAGAGCAACAGGATAAAAAAAGGAACGGTTGAAATTCATTTTGTTGGTGTTAAGGTGAAGTTCGACTTTTGTCTAAATCCTTGTTGACTTGCAGCTACGCAACTCTGAGGAAGGCACGCCCGGGTCATTTCTCACATATATATCAACACCGCCAGGCTCAAAGCAAAGTTTATTCAATCATTCATTATGTTCAAGCAACCTTTAGGACAGAAATTTCTATAAGAAAGGCATTTGCCAACCCTTTTAACATTTTGTACAGTACTTCTTCCCCGAGAACAAAATAAACCAGTGCTTCAGACCACTTATATCACACCCTATAGAGAGATAAAGTCCTTGCAGCGGGTGATACCAAGCTGCTGAACCAGGAATTCGTTGACAAACTGGCACTTAGGATCCTGGCGCTTCTGGATGGCCAAGAACTCGGGCAGCTTCGGGAATTTCTCCAATGTGTAGGTAGCATTGGGAGCACTCATCTTGTTCCAATGGGAGCGAACGTTGTAGGTTTCACCAAAGTGAGGGAGGAACTCATAGGCCAACTCCTGATTTTGCCAAAGAGTGGTGAAGTTATTATACTCTTGGATCCAGTCAATCTCGATGACCGCAAAAACACCGCTAGACTCGGGGCCAAGGTTGTAGTTGTTAACAGGGGACATATATGTATCGTCAGCCTTGAGGGTACGGTGCTGGATGACCATCTGCTTGTTGTAGGGAGCCTTCATGCGAGGTGTCTGGGCCTGTTGGAAAATGGTGTAGTTGGTGGCGGCTTCCGCGTACTGCTCGATAGGAAGGAAGTGCTCGATCTCGGCGTAGAAACCTCGGGAACAGACACCCTGGGGAGAGCAGGATGCGGCATCAGTGACTTCATCGTAGCAGATGTACTCCTTCTTGCAGTCACCGCAGCCGTTGGCGCAGTAGTTGAGAGTGCAGTTGCGAACACCGGTATAGTTGGTCGGCTCCCAGTAAGAGAGGAAGTAAGTAGGCTCGAGGGCCCAGCTTTGAGAGTCTGCATCCCAGTCGAAGTGAGGACCCCAGACAGTCATACGGTCATGCTCCTTGTACAGTTGGGCAAGCTCCTTGTACATTATTGAGTAGTCGGAAGTGGCATTCAAAACCTTGGTAGTTTTCTTCAGGAGTTGGGTAGGCTGGACCTTGATGGTCAACTCGGTGATTAAACCGAGGGCACCAAGGCTGATACGGAAAGCCTTCAGTTCTTCTGCATTGTGCTTCTCGTTGATGACACGGAGGTTTCCCTGCGAGTCCAACACCCGCAGTCCAATGATCTGGGTTGCGATATTACCGAGGCTGGATCCAGAACCGTGGGTACCGGTGGAGGCAGCACCGACAAAGTTCTGAACACGCTCAACACCGAGATTGCTAAAGGACAAGTCGTTGGCCTTCAGTTCTTGGACAAGGTCATCGACGTCCCAGCCGGCACCAAAGGTGACGGCCAGATTCTTCTTATCGATATGGAGCTTCTTGAGATTGGTGAGGGAAACGATATAGGTGGGTTTCTCAGTAAGAGTATTGTCGACACAGGTAGTGAGGTTACCGAATCCATGACCATTTCCAACGACCTTGATATGGGAACCCGTGGGGTATTGCTCCTTGAGGAACTGGGCGGTGGCATGCTCATTCTGAGGAGCAATGTGGGCATCAGACTCGCAAGTGACCTCAAACTGCCAGTTGGACCAGCGGTAGGCGGAGCCAGACACTGCGTGCAGTAGCACCAGCAAGAGAGCCAGCTTAGAGGTAAGCATTTTGGAAACTATGGAATCTCTAATGTCAGCAAACTGAGTGGCATAAGAGTGAAATCGAACAAAAAACTGACAGCAAGTAGGAATGCCCGAACTATGTGCGATATCGTCTCACAAGCGATTCTCGCAATAGTAATGATTGAGGGGACTTGTGTTCGTACCGAAAGACGGAGGTCCGTAGGAGAAGAACACAGGCAAGTTATATACACTTGAATTGCCCTATCTTTCAAACATGCCCACTTTCAGGGCCAAGGGAGTGTTTCATCGAATGAAATACTCCACTATCGAGCAAATTTTCTCATTTGGCTGGAGCTTTTTGATCCGTGTCGCCTGTTGTTAAGTTTACTGTCGATCAAATGGGTGGATAGTGATATACCGATGTAGTTCGTGAGGAAAATCAAACACACTCTAATTTACCTAAAGAGTACTGTTGTACATCAGCCCACCAAATGGATTCTCGGATCAGATAACAGAAATTCGAATGGTATCATCGTGGCTTACGATGATCTTAATTAAAGGTATCCACTTTGTGGCTGTTAAACTTAATTCAAAACTCAATTCACAACTTATTTAAAACCTACTTGACACTTGACTTTACCATGTCAATCCTTGGCGCATCCACAGCAATTAATGTGATCCTACCTATAAAATGGATCGTGTGGCAGAGGCTTGGAATTTTCGAAGACCCGCAACTGTCCAAGGTTGGATAGGAAGAGGAGGTACCTATCATGGCCCGTCCTATCCCGGTGAAGAAAGTGCCCAAGTGGCTTCCTCGTATAGAGACAACTTGGAATCCAGACTCTAGAGATTACATATCTACATGTCTAACAACAAGGGGATACGATGTACTTAGTGTGTGTAACTAAGATCTACAGTAGTTGTTATGCTACTCACCGTGGAGTTCGTATCCCCAGTGGCCCACAATTATATTAACCTGTGACAAATGAAACCGACGAACATACCTTTTCTAAGATTATTTTGGCGCTTAGAGACGGTGTATAGGACTTTCCAGACTCTAGAGATTACATATCTACATGTCTGACAAGAAGGGGCTACAGTGTACTTAGTATGTAACTACGATCTACAGTAGTTGTTATGCTGCTTGCCGTGGAGTTCATATCTTCGGTAGCCCACAATTATATTAACCTGTGACAAATGAAACCGACGACCGTACTTTTCTAAGATTGCTTTCGGGCTCAGAGATGGTGTATAGAATTTTCCTAACCTTGGAACCCAGACTCCAAAGTTTACATATGTACATATTGCTTAACAACAAAGTGCTACAATGTAACTCACATGTACGATCGACATTTGTTGGTATGATCCTCGCTGGTGAGTACGTATCTGGCAGCCCACAGTTTTATTACACCCAACAAATGAAGCCGATGAACATACCATTTCTAAGGATAACCTCGACGTCAATGTCGGGCATTTGTACATGATCATCAACGTGCCGTGAAAAACTGCTGATTAAAGCTTTATGTGGATGTAGGAAGAAATCTATATATTCTTACCTCTTCAGCCGTCGAGAGCCTGTACTGCATAGCAACCAATTCAAGGACTTCTTTCTCTTTTGTCTCCCCTCCATTTGAGAGTATAACTCAACATGAAGTCTATAATCTTCTCGTGCTTTCTCATCTCTGTGGCCACATCCAAGCGCTACCTACCCTCCGAGCAGATCGATGTCCAGTCCAGTCTTCTTTCTGACCCTACCCATGTCGCCGGCAAGACTGTTGACTATATAATTGCGGGAGGTGGTTTGACAGGACTGACTATTGCCGCCAAGCTGACTGAGGACCCCAGAATCAAGGTCCTGGTCATCGAAAACGGCTTTTACGAGTCCACCGATGGAGATATCATCGAGGATCTGAACGACTACGGAGACATTTTTGGCACCACTGTTGATCACGCCTATGAAATTGTCCCTCACCCCATCAATAATCGCACCGAGAATGTCCGATCTGGCAATGGTCTTGGAGGATCAACTTTGATCAATGGTGGCTCTTGGACACGTCCCCACAAAGCTCAGATCGATTCTTGGGAGAGAGTGTTTGGCAACAAGGGCTGGAACTGGGATAACATGTTACCATACATGCAGAAGGTCGAGATCGCTCGTCCTCCAAGTGATGTTGAGATTGCCGCTGGCCACTATTATAACTCTACCTGCCACGGAACGAATGGCACTGTTCATGCTGGTCCCCGAAACAACGGAGAGCCCTATTCCCCAATAATCAAGACATTGATGGATACTGCCAAGGGACGTGGTGTTCCTACCCAGCTGGACCTCCACTGCGGTATTCCTCGTGGTGTTTCTATGATTCCCAATGGGCTACACGAGGACCAGATTCGCTCGGATGCTGCACGTGAATGGCTTCTGCCCAACTACAAGCGCCCGAATCTACAAGTCTTGACGGGACAGTTTGTTGGAAAAGTCCTCATCAATCAAACCGCCACATCTGGCGCTGTTTCTAGTCACAAGGCCGTTGGTGTAAACTTTGGCACCAACAAGAATGTCAACTTTAATGTATACGCCACGCACGAGGTATTGCTAGCTTCCGGCTCTGCTGTCTCCCCCCGAATCCTAGAATACTCAGGCATTGGCTTGAAATCTGTGCTCGATGCTGCCGGTATTCAGCAACTTGTTGACCTCCCTGTCGGTCTCAACATGCAGGACCAGACAACCACTACCGTGACCTCCCGTACCAAATCTTCCGGTAATGGTCAAGGTCAAGCCGTCTACTTTGCTACTTTCAACGAGACGTTTGGGGACTACGCTCCTCAGGCCCACAAGTTACTTAATACCAAGTTACACCAGTGGGCCACCGAAACGGTGGCGCGCGGTGGTTTCCATAATGTGACTGCTCTTGAGGTCCAGTACCAGAATTACCGTGATTGGTTGGTCAATGAAGAAGTTGCCTATACGGAACTGTTCCTGGATACTTCTGGCAAGATCAACTTTGACTTATGGGATCTGATCCCATTCACCCGTGGTTCTGTGCATATTGAGGGGAAAGACCCCTACCTGCGACGCTTTTCCTACGACCCCAAATTCTTCATGAACGATCTGGATCTTCTTGGCCAAGCCGCTGGATCCAAGCTCGCACGCGAAATCTCCAACACTGGCGGTATGCAGACCTACTTTGATGGCGAGACTACACCTGGCGACAACTTGGAATATAATGCCAACTTGGACCAGTGGGTGGATTATGTCAAGCAGAACTTCCGCGCCAACTGGCATGCTGTGGGCACCTGCTCGATGATGGCAAAGGAGCTTGGTGGAGTTGTTGATTCTGAGGCTCGAGTGTATGGTGTTGAGGGCCTTCGCGTGGTTGATGGCTCAATCCCGCCGACTCAAGTGTCCTCCCATGTCATGACTATCTTCTACGCCATGGCTTTGAAGATTTCCGATGCCGTTCTGGCCGACTTCCATGCTAAGTCTTCGAAGAACTGATAGCTGAAGGTTTAGGATCGATCAGCTCGAACGTGATGCACTTAGGTACCCAGGCAATTAGGCAGCAAGGTGCAGGTTGTCAGACCTCTCTCTTTGTCATAATGAAGCATACAAAGGGCATTTTACTCCATGGCAGTATGTAGATTCAGGAATCTATAACAATCTTGCTTCTCCTTGCTCTCTGTAGCCACGTAGAGATCTCCATGGACTAGAATGTATTTCCCAATGGCCTCGAAGTCGTCATCTCTTTATAAGCCTTTCCATTAGAGACTACAAGTTTTCAGTGCAAGCCGAACCAAACTTGGGCATAATAAAAAATCGTAAAGTTACAGGTAATACTGCAGAAGAGTCTGTGGATCAGCCTTCCGAAACCCCGGCTTTGAGGTGCCCGAATACAGGTTGAATATCAATAGTCCATGGAGTAACCCCCTCTTCCACCACCATTTTGTCCACCCTTGCCGTCATATGCGCCATCATGTCCATTGCTATGGTCATCCAGCGACCTGTACTGGTAGTATTCACCTCGACCACGACCTCGGCCTCGGCCTCGGGTGTTGTTACCGCGCCCACGTCCGGGACCTCGGCCACGACCACGATGAGCTCCTCTTCCTCGCGGACTATCATCATACTGGTGACGTCCATCACCTCCGCCGCGCTGAGAAGAGTAGTTGCTGCGGCCATGAGATGGGCCCTCAAAGCCGGTGTTTTGACTGGGTGGCCAGACGACATCTTCGTCCTCCTGCTGGAAGCGTCTTTTTTGACTCCTGTTCAGGGGTTGCTCGCCTTGCCGATGTTCTCCGGTGTCTTCAACTCGTAGGACAACTTTCTCGCCGACCACAGTCTCAAACATCATGGCCCTGTCCGCCGGAATGGGGTGCCAGTTTTGGATCTTCCCTGCATCGATGAGACGAGCACCTTTCCGAACAGCCAGTACTACAATTGGCAGTGGGTTCTCAGTGTGATATGCTTCTGTCGCTGGGATAGGCGCCACACGGGCCGCCCATATCTTGTTCTCCAGGTTCCCGGTTCCGGTAACCTGCCACTTTAGTTTCTTGCCCATGCCTCCAACCTTGTCCAGGATTGAACGGGGCGCTGGGCGTGGGGTAATTAGGATGCTGTTAGCCATGTACTTCAGGTCATTTGATTCCGCAAGCCCTGGGGGGAGCAATGGAGCCAGCAAATTCTGCATCATGCTGTTTGAAACCTCTGGAGTAACCAGATATCCCGTGTAGAAGACAACTCGCTTGATATACATCCGTCCACAGCGGCTCTTGGTTACGTTCAAAGCAGGGTTACGCAGCGTGAGGTTGTGGGCATTGACCATGCGCTGCACCTCAGCAGTCTCAGTTACAGGGTCAAGGTATGTGCAGCCCTCAGTTACCTGGATGACTTCGGCAGTAATGGGCATTCGTTCAGTAGAAGGTCCACTTTGAAGGTCTCTGTTCAGACCTTCAAAGAAGTCTCGGAACCCTTTCACACTAGCAGAAGATTAACATCTTGGTATGCTCAGATTTTCCAATTCGATTGGTGGGGGACTTACTGCCTGACACGGTCCTCGTAGACGCGGATTTCCGCAGCCTGCTCGTAAGTGAAAACAAGATCCTCAAGGAAGTTCTGTTTGAAGTTCATTGTCGTCGCAAACCGTTGACCATTTGGGCCAACTTCGGGTTTGAGACCAATGAGATCAAATTCAAGACTTTGACTGGCGACCATCCGCTTGATAATTTCTGAAAAGCCGGCCTCACTTCGACCGGTCAGCAACACCGTGAGCGCATCTTTCTGCTCCATGCTATTCCTGACCAAACTAAGCTTCAAGGAGTCAGTTGAAACGCCCGAAAGATGTAATGTATGATAGATGGCACACAATTTGCTCATTCCACCAGCTTTCCCATTTGCGAGGCTCTTCTATCTCGATGCCTTTTCCTGTAGCGGCGAGAATGTTGGGGTCGTGCCACCATCCTCCAGTTGCGAAACTATCATTGGTCTGAAGGAAACCGATTGAGGAGCCATGCCATAATTGCGGATTTGGTAGGGGACTTAGAAATACTGCGAGTGCGGATGTTAGCGGTCGATTGTCGGATCATCCTAAGCTTGCATATGCTCACAGGTGTTATCGAAATCGTAGACGTGAATTGCGCGAATTTGAGAAACAGCTGTGAAGAAAAATCTTGTTAGAGGCATGGCAGGGCAATGGACTGTAATGAGAGCTAACCTGGCAACTCCTTGTTCACAATAGACCAACGCCGCAGTGAGGTGATGGTATGCGGTGGGCGATGAATCCCGCTTCCTGTGCTGTGCGTCATTTTGGTAGAGCCGAGGCGGGCGAGTTTTTCTGAAACGACCGCTTTGGCAGACCGCATTCTATCAGGTAAAGGAGAGAGAGAATGTTAGCGCATAGTTGGGAGAGAAAGAGAGTTGAAGTCGTAAAACGAGCAAGCGCGGTGACGGAGCCTCCGAGAAATCGGTTTTGCCGCCGAGAACGCGATAAACGTGACAAACGTGACTTCAGGAACGAACCTCCTGCAACCCACCCCTGGCATGTCGCCTGTATGGACGATGTCGATTTGCGACAGGAAATCCTCCAGCGGACTCTCAAAGAGGTAGCTAATGAGGATAAGGAGACCGCAAATCCTTGTGTTATTTGCCTAGACACTATCACCGAGCCGTGTGTGGCACAGCCATGCCGACATGCCAACTTCGACTTCCTCTGCCTTGTCAGTTGGACCGAGCAGCAACCCAAATGCCCCCTATGTAAGAACGCCCATGGACATGCAGACTAGTCACTAGCCCTGACTTGCTGACAATATAACAGGTAAAATCGACTTGACGGCAGTGCAATACGATCTCAACGCCACACAAGGTCCCAAGCTATACAAGCTCCCGCCCCCGAGCGCAACATTCCCGAAAGCTCCAGTCACTACTCGATCGCGCCCTAGCAATCGCCGTGGCCCAGGGCGTCGCCCTCCACCCCCGACACGGCCACAACCAGATGACCCGCTCGAGCGTCGGCGCAATGTCTATCGCAACCAAACATACTCCATGCGAGTTGGATCCAATCGGTTGTCCCAGTACCGAGAACTGACGCCAGAGCTCTTCGCTCGTGATGAAGAGCTTGTTTCGCGTGCTCGGAAGTGGATTCGCCGTGAGCTACGAGTCTTCTCTTTCTTGAATCCGGAACCGGTGGAAGAAGAGCGTACATCTCACCAGGTCTCGCGCCCTGGGCCTCAACGGCTGGAGAATCGCAGGGCGAACAATGCCGAGTTCCTGCTGGAATATGTCATCGCTATCTTGCGCACGGTCGATCTCAAAGGCAGTGCTGGACAAGCGGAGGAGCTGTTGCGTGATTTCATCGGTCGTGAGAATGCCTGTCTGTTCCTCCACGAGTTACAGGCATGGCTGAGGAGTCCATATAATTCTTTGGAGGACTGGGATCGTCATGTTCAATACTCGAATACTCCACGGAGTATGTTTAATGGAGGACATACGGACTCTGATAGCTCGGGCCGTAGACCGACTCCTGTGAACACTCGGGGTAGGCCACAGAGGTCTCGAAGACCATACAGGTCCAGGTCCCTAGAAGCGGTTGACCGGTCTAGGCGGCTGCAGCAAGCTCAACAGCGATATAATCCATATTAGACATCCAGCTTGATATGAAGGTATTGCATCTACAACTTTGATAATTGTCTAGGGAGAGAGTCAATCCCTACTTATCAATATGCCTACTTATCAATATGCCTACTTATCAATATGTACATATACATATTTAACGGAATGGCATTTCGTATATCACTGACGTAGGGGGAGACCTATCCCTAGGCCGCGAAAAATGAACTTAAACCAAATAGATTTAGTTTAATGGCGCTGTCATCATAAACATGTACCCGCTGGGTAACACAAGCATTGTCGTAAGGTTACACATGTCATCAGAGGCCACCTCTTTCAACCATATAAAGCATCCGCTTAAAGCTGACCCTATTCCCGATATAATCTTGTGCTTCCCTGGCAGGTTGGTTCCAGAGAACTGCCAATCTTGACTAACAGCCCAATAACGCACTAGGATTTTCTTGTTGCTTGGATCTGCTCCGTTGAGCAGGTACTATTGCTCGGGACTGCGGAATCGATTATTTCATTGTTCAGTATATAGTTCTGGGATCTGGACAGGGGGAGTGCGCTATGAATATCTGAAATCGAAAGTGCTATGGATGCTAAATAAATGTATGAATGTAGTCGTCACTTCATGAAAAGCAGGTCGGGCTGCCCGGTTCTTACTTCCTGCGGAAACGCCCTCTACCCCGCGAGGAACCTCCCCTGTTGATGCTTATTGATCGATAATTTGCATGAGCTTGGGGGTTGATCTTCCGGGCACGAGGTTTCTTTGCTTCAACAGTCTCGGAAGGCTTCTTCGGAGGTTTGCCTAGGGGTTCTTGTTCCTGAGGTTTCGCAGCAGAGGATGAAACAGCTTCCTTGATTCTCTCCGAGAAACTCTTCGGTCTGGCAACAGGCTTCGGCTGTTCTCCAAATTCGGGATCATCGTCCGAGTCCGGATCTAATTCAGCCTCGGTATCAAGCTCGGGCTCCGACATGGTATGAAGGGAAGCGGCCTCGTCCGCCCGCTCAATGTCACTTGGGACATCGTCCCAGCCGTCATTAGCAGGAGGTGATTGCTGCGTCTCCGGAACTGCTACAACATCATCCTTGCCTTCCCAGTCCTCATCTGTTGCAGGTGCTGGGTTTGATTTCGGCTTCGGTTGATGGATGACCGGTCTCATAATCACTCTTCGCGTTGTCCGCTTCTGGCCCTTCTTCTTGTACTTCCGGTTCACCTCTGGCCCTTGACTATCCTCAACCTGAGTCTTGGCAGCTTCTTCCGCCTCTGCCTCCTCCTCCATCTCGCGCATGATCTCCCAGTCGTCCTCCATACGATCTTCCTCCATGTCCCGCAGTCCTTGGACCAAATGCGTTAGCCCCTTGCTGGCGAATCTTTGCGGCTTGCGCGAAACGATAGGACTAAGTCCTGGATCATCATGCTTTGCGCTAGGTGGAGGATAGCGACCAGAGTTGGAGCGACGTAGGAAAGACGGCGTCCCAGATTGCGCTTCTTGGGGTGATATTTCAGGGGCAAGGTTCAGCGGATTTATCTTCTGTGCATCTACATTATCATCCGCTTCTACCATTGTGGCATAACGCATCGTAGTCGGTGTTGCGAACAGATTTGCAAGATAGAACTGCTTAGTCTCAGACGCAGGGGTTCGCGCAAGTCTAGGCGTCTCCTGCTGAGGCTCTTCTTCCGGAACCTCGGGCATAGTGTTCACGGGCCTTTTTTTGGAGGGCGTTCGGAACGCGGCGGCTAGGTTATTGGTTTTCCTTGCTGTGGAGGGCGTTCCACCACTGCCACCGGATTCGGATAGCATGTCGAATAGGCCCAATGTCTTTCCATCACGTTGAGGCGTGGGCCCAATTGCGGCCTTCAATGGCGACGGTGCGGGCAGACCTTGGCGGTGTGTACTGGGGCTAAAGAGTCTGCGAAGAGTCGACGGCGAGTCATACGGATCGAGTTGTGCAGGGTGGTGCTTGGTGCGATTGTTGGACGGAGTCGCAAAGAGTCCTCTAGAGGATTTGCGGGGTGTGACTTGAAGATATGCACTATCCTGGCCAGGGGGGGATGCATGCTTCCGCTTTCTAGAGTGACTTTCATATGGCTCCTGTCGACTATTCTCGCGTCGACTTAGGGATGCTTCAAGGGCCTTGAGGCGACTGTATTCCTTGTATTTAGCCGCTAATGAATCAAGAATGTCCAATTAGTGATCTATGTCATTATAAATCAATATCACGAGTCTTGACATACCAATTTCGGAATTTTGTTTGATATCATCGCGTCCGGCTTTGCGGCCCCCATTGGCTGATGAGAAAGCTTTCTCCCATGTTTTCAATTCTGCGCGAACATTGATAGCTTCGGCGCCGACCTCAGTACTAGAAGTAAGAACGTTGTCGGCCATGGTCGCATTGTATGTGGCACGAGACAACCTGGAAGAAGAGCAGTCTGGCCGTAAATCGATCGATATGCGCGTCACGCGACGCGAATTAATTAACGTCAGACTAAACTAATAGGCGGTCTGACTCTGCCATAGGATAATCACTTTACCTAAATAGGAAGGCGGTATGCCCTTCCGAAAAGTGGGGTTATATTGAAACCAACGCATAGTTATTTCGCCTTTTCGGGGCATGGTGAACCGGAAATATACAGAGAAGATTAGCATGGCGCCTACACAAGTTCCAGCTATCCGTAGATAAAACATGCACGTGCCTTCCACGTGGTGTAAATACATGACGTAATCATATGACATCCCCGCGGTTCTTATCGGTTTCGCGTCCACGGGTCTCCGCTTCTTCGGTTATCTTGGCCAGGACCTTCCCAGGTTCCCAACATTTACCTTCATATTGTCCCGCAATGACAACTTTACAACTATGCCGCCAAAACGTGAGCGTACGGTTCAAGGCTCGTGTTGGCCATGCAAACAACGCCGGGTGAAATATGATCTGGGGAAGCCCTTATGCCAGAGATGTATCTCGTCTGAGGCAAAGTGCTGTTATGACAAGCTTTTGATCAGGTGAAAAAAGACTCCACCAACACAAAGACTGACTGTGCATCAATCCCCATTTTCGAGCCTCAACATGCATTTAAAAGACAATACCTTGGCCAATGGGGATCGTAAGGCCCTTGAATATTTCCAATTCGCTGTGTGGCCTCTTTTCACCACTGCGGCTCAACCTTGCCCTTCACCCATACCTCTAGCCAGAGAATGCTAACCGGTACTTCTAGTTGTATGTGAATTGGCCGAAGCGCATCGTACACTGCGAGACGAGGCTGGGAATAGCACGGTGAGCGCACAGTCCGACAGAAGAACGAGCTGTCTGGCTTCAGTCAGTGAGCAGCTTCGAAATAATAATTCCAATCAGGCATCACTTTCGCCTCTTCTGGTCGCAGTCTTTCTGCTGTATTTTTTGGATGGCTTTATTGAATGTGATCATCAATCTACTTCGACAGCCAGTCACCACGTAGGCGTCCAAGCAATTATCGATCATCTCGGAGGATTCACAGCTCTTATCAAAATGTGCCAAAAGGATATCACAATGCTCTTATCTGAGTACGCATCCACAGACCTGACAAAGGCTCTCCTAGACGACCGGTCTCCTTGCTTTCCCGCTGAAATCTGGACACAGATAGAGCATGGAACGGTCTGGTGGGACCAAGAAACATACGACGGCACAACACTAGCATCCGTCTTCAGAATAATGGCAGAGATGTCTTTATATCGCCAGAAAACCAATGGAGACCCGGAGACACTTTTAATGGAAGTCGTGCAAGATTTTGAGCGGTGTCTACAGCCGTCATTCCAGATTCTCAATTTCGACCATATCAAAAATCCCAATACCTACACCGTGTATGAATCAACGCTTGAGCCAAGGATGCAAGCTGATCCGTTCACGCGTACCTTTCAACATAGTGCTCTCGTCTACCTCTACCGAGCAATCTGGGGCCTTCCGCCGATCATTGGTACAGCAGCATGTCTAGTTATGTGTGGGGTGCATCGGAAATATCTCGCCTCTTTCTAAGGCTCATAACTGTATAATATTTCCATGATACATTATGGGCGCTCACACATTCCTGCAAGATCAACAGGCGTTTGTCTTAGAGAGACGCGATTTTATAGATAAATATCTGCGCTTCAACTCTGTACTATTGGTTCGCGCAGCGTTGGAGGACTTATGGAAGTCACCGCGACATAATGGGAATTGGTGGGATATGTTTATATCTCTAGGGGAACATGTGCTTGTGATCTAGCTGGAGCTGTAATTACAATGAGCGTTGAAATGAAGATCATGTATTAATAACATTTTCCAATGTTTTCTACCTGCTAGGCTGACAATTTATTTGGACACGGGGCTTGTCAGATACGCCAATAAAGTTTTATTTCAATGAGCTCGGAATCTTAACCCCCTCCTAGTCTGGAGCCTTGCACGTGCGGGGGTGAGACCATTTAAAATGGCCCTGCCTAGCTTTGAAGCCAATGATCAAACCCATCTGTCACGTCCTATTCGATCATCATCGCGTTGCGTATCCTTGGATCTCATCTCCTCAACACACAGGCTGACTATGCCATCCGAACAATCACCATTCGATGACGGGTTTGATACTCTTGTGAAAGAGCAACTGGAAAAATGGAAAGTCCCCGGCTTGAGTATAGCGATTATCCATGGTCCCAATACCTACACTAAGGTAATCCCACAAATCCATTTAACGGATCAAATACTCACAGAGTACAGGCATATGGAAAGGCAGAGCTACTAGACCACAGCACAGGTCGACCATCTCGGGAGATGACAACCGATGCCTTGTTCGCAACATGTAGCACCACCAAGGCCTTTACCGGTGCGACGACATCCATAGCAATCCAGGACAGCAAGGCCACCGAGTCCCCAATCGACTGGCACACGCCTGTGGCTTCCCTAATTCCGGAAGACTTTATCCTGGAGAACGACTACGCGACCAAGAATATTACACTCGAAGATGCGCTCTCGCATCGGTCGGGTATGCCCGAGCATAACTGGACCTTGGCTCTATTTTCAAAGAAGGGCCCAACGCCGGGCTCTATAGTCCGCGCGATGCGACACATGCCCCTCGCAACGCCACCGCGCACCAAGTACCACTACAGCAATTACATGTACATCGCTGTGTCACATGCGTTGGAGCAACACACTGGCGAAAGGCTAGGAGCTTTCATGAAGAAGCGCATCTGGGACCCGCTCGGTATGAGCGAAACGTTCTTCTCGCCAGGCGAAGCAAAAGCAAACCCAGCAACTGCCACAAAGCTTGTACAAGCATACAAATGGGTTCCTACAAAGGAAGGCGGAAGGTTTATCCCGCAGCCAGAGCATGACTGGCCAGCTAACAGTGGTGCTGGTGCTATCGTTAGTAACGTTCTCGACTATTCCCATTGGGTGCGGGAGTTGATTGAACGAACCGGACCGCTGAAAGGACATGACAGCTTAACGGATCCGCGGACGATATACTTCCAGGACGATGACTTGAATCTGCCCGCTCCGTATCATGCATATGCGCTCGGATGGGTCGTGGATAACTACCGCGGCCAGCATCTCTATAGCCACGGCGGTGGCTGGCCTGGCTACGCAAGCTGGGTGGGCTTCGTCCCCGAGAAGAAGTTTGGATTTGTGGTTATGGGCAATTCATTTTCCGCTCGGTATGCTGCGTTTAGATTGGTCACTTATCTTCTGGATAGACAGCTTGGTCTATCCGATGATCCCACATATGAGGGGCAGGTTGCTGGTTGTATTGAAAGACAAACTGAGACATGGGAGTCGAGTCTTAGGAATGAAATCATGGAGGACTCAAAGGAACGGTTATTCGCTTCTTTGCCTGATCGGCCGCTTCCATCTGCCTTACATATATCCGAATATACTGGAACATACAGGCACCCGACGGGCGCGACTTTTACCATCCAGATAATCAATGACAGGCTTGAGGCTGACCTGCGGGATCGAGTCATTCCGTCTGAATTGTCTCTTGTTCATGCAAGCGGGGAATTCTTCGTGGGAAGAATCCATAATGCAGGATTGGACTTGGTGTCCCCATTCTCAGTCGAATTCTATATTGATGCTGCGGGTATTGCTCAAAGAGTTGGACTTCTCTTGGAGCCTGCGATGAAGGAAGGAAAGCTCTGGTTTGATCGATGTAGTTACTAGGCTTTTATGTTACTACACATGAGACAGAAAACAAGCGAGAGGGATCTGACACATAATACGAATCCCTGTACAAAGACCATGGCTTTCTTATTTCCCTCGCTATTCTAGTAATGCATTAAAGCCGTTTAAACCAAATATAGGGCAGCAGCACTATTATTTCCCAATTACCAGCTCGTCAACCCCTTCACCCGATCGAACCCACCCCTCAACTGTGACTCAGGGTGCACGACTTTCCCTTGCAGAACAGTGTACTTAACAATACCCTCACAATGCTCAGGCCGTACACGCGCGAGCCAAATCATCTGTTGATCTTTCTTGCGATAAATCAAAGCATTCGCAGAGAACTTGTGTCCGCCGACATGCGAGACGAAGAAGATGCCAACCCCGCCAGCCCGGGAATCATCCGCATCCCGGTCCAATCCCAGCGGACGGAGATGTCGCTCCAGCTCGCGCTTAATCAGTGGTGCTGTAATACCGCAGCGCGCATCTCGGCGCCCGTGCGAACACAGTAGTATCACGTAGTCAAGTTCACAGGGTCGGGCGCTCATCCCATCCGTAGGAGAGATGGTGCCGTTTGCACTTTGCTGCTTAGTGGGGTGGTCGATATATCTGGATATAAGATCTGGGACGTCTGTCTGTGTGGCAGAGTCGACATATGTGAATGATGGTAAAATTAGTACCGTGGTAGCTTTGTTGGAACTTTCGTCTGTGGTTGGTTGTTCTGGAGGAGTGAGATTTGATGCCGAGACCATCATGCGCTGGATCGGGTGTTAGGGAAGGCTGACTAGATGTGAATCTGGGAGCTTACACCATGGTCTGATTTTGCCTTATCAAATGCTTCCATTAAGCTGCCTGTCATGTTTTCAACGTGCTTTTCTTTCCAGTCGGCTTGACCCGTTGCCACGAGAATATGGGCGTGAAATTCTTTGATTTGGCCATAAAGAGGCATTGACGTCTCGACTTTGACTTTTGACGGAAACTGTATCGTGCAGTCGGCGCAGTCTCTCAAACATTCGGGGCCGTCCTCTTTGGGATCCACTTTGGGAAAGACGTAGTCTTTGGTGTCTGCGCGGCCCAAGGAAAGCAAGGAACGGAGCATGATCAAGGTGTGATTTAGTTGTGAATGTAAAGTCGAACGTTGCAAGCTGAGTCCAGGAGACGTTTCGGAAATTGAAAGTTGCCTGGAAATCTGGGGGTAGATATAGAGCCCAGTATCTCCGAGCGACACTCGGAGTCGGGTTAAAAAAGCCGAAACCCCGAGCTTACAGGGTTATCTCCAGACTAGGATCTCTAATGTTAAGTGGAGATGATTCATTTGAGATCCCCGTTTTATATTGGGGCTAATTGATTTAGTCTAACACCGCAGTGACTTACGGCCACTTAGCATCCCTGTATTTGATCTATCTCAACGCATCGTGTCACATCTTATCCTACTAACTCTAGACGACTGGCAATTATTTGTTGAGCCCGACGAGGTGTACAGCCTTATCAGATCCGCGGAAATTTTGCACTCAGCATCAGCCTCAACTTGGCCCACGTCTTTGAACAATAGCGCATAGTGAACCGTCTGTGATATCGCGAAACACAAGACTGTATCAAGGCGGCCTGGCCACCTTTGCTTCTTGTGCATCGCATCCAAATTCTCGTCTAGAGCAGGGTGAGGTAGAACTTTTTCGGCTACCGAAGTAGGCAGCACTGGTGAAAGGTGAAACGGACTTTGAAACTAGACCAAACATGGGGTCGAGTATTTTCCAGGCAAGACTCATCTCATTAGTCTTATTTTGTGTAACAATCCGGTGAAACAACCCCATGCGCGGAGTACTACATGGTTACTCGTACGAGTATGGCAAGCAAGCCCAAGGCATGAACGCGTATAAAAAATAGGGGCAGTGTTGACATGGACCTTGGCAGTGATCGTGGCTGTTGTCGTGGTTCGAAATTAGACCAACACTGGGGATTATCGCCTGTCGTTGTTGCCCAGAAATTGCCAAGAGATGTAGTTTTCCATTTACAAGGCTCGAATAATTATTGGTAAGCCTTGGGAGATATCAGTTCCAAAGTGGGAAAGATAGTAAGACATAACTATTGTGAATACACTGAAACCGAGTAAGCGCATGCCGAGCCCCTTGGCGTCCGGTTGTTTACGGACCCATTGAGGCTTGGATTTTGTGGGTCTGGGAGAATACATACGAAAGGGAGTATGCAGGGTATTGTGAAGAAATAAGAAAAGAAGATAGATCTACTCTGTATTCTTTCGTCCTTTGAGTAATGAATGTACCAAGTGGAAAAAACAAAAATATAAAATATAATTCCCACGCGACGTCGGCCAGACTTTCCGGATTAGGTGGTTCCACGGCCAAGAGCGGGACCACGTAAGCCGAGAGCTAGAGCCAATTCCCACGAGACTTTCCCATGACCTCGGGCGTAAGATCTTTCCCAAGTATAAGCTTGTCAACACCGAGAATATGGATATTCAAGGCAATATGCAGCCCGATCGTGTGCGCAAGCGCCGTCGCCGCACAATGGCGTGCACGCAGTGTCGCACGCGCAAGTTGCGATGCGATCGCGAGTATCCAACTTGCAGTCGCTGTTTAAAGAGCAGAACCCCGAGCAAATGCACATATGAGGATGGGTTTTTATGGCAGCAGCCCACCACTGTCACGAATACTGCATTTACCTCCGACCGAGGGTCTGCGGTATCCATGTCTAGAGACACCCCAATAGACACACCTCCGGATTCGGGGATACCGACGGTATCAACTCGGACGGAAACTTTCCCAACCAGTGATCCACCTCGCATGGCTATGGCCGGCGGTCCAATGCATCACGAGTATCATGGTCTTACGGGGCATGCTCTTGCACCTCCCTACAGAGCCCGACCACACGACAAAGAGCGAAAGGACTGCTTTTTGGAAACTGTTCTTGGTGCTCCTAAGGCTGCTGTTAATCAAGAACCTTATCTACACACGGGTGTTTTGCAGCGTCCTAAGCGTCCGCCCCCCGCATTGGAGCATAATATGCAAGCATCGTTGCAGGTCGACGATGTGCACATTGATGAAGAAGGGGACCCATTGTCACCCACGGACCAGCTCGACCTCGCTCCTCGCATGATGATGAGGGGCCGTGAAACTAAAACGCGGTTTAGCGGGTCGGGCATTCTTGCCAGTCTAGTAGCACAGGTCTGCTCCCGCTCTCCAGATTCCATTTTCTAACAATGGCAATTAAAATATGGAGGCTGACATATTCACAGTTTCCGGATATAAGATCATTTGCAGAGGAGATCAGGCTTTCTACCCCGATTTTCACGCAACTTCAGCCGGACCTGGGAAGGATTAAGCGCGGCCTATTCAAAGTTATGGTGATCACTCGGCCCTTTCCCGACCCTACTACCGCTTCGATAATTAACATGCTGCCCTCGCGTGGTGTGGTTGATGAGCTGGTTGGGTTGTATATCAACTATATAGAGTCCACTCACCGCATTCTTCATGTTCCATCCTTCTTACGAGAACTTGACCAATTCTGGGCCATGTTAGACAGCCCGGCCTCCATATCTGCTGCCTTTGCAGTTCAGTTACTGTTGGTCCTTTCCTGTGCATGGAACCTTGCAGATTTTGCTAGTCTGCAGTCAAAAAGTACGGGCGAACTCAAGTGCCAGTCTGCGGTGGAGTGGACGCTGCACGCAGGGAAATGGATCGAGAATCTTCACACGAAGCGTCCTGAGATCACATCGATGCGACTCTCTATTCTGTTGATTTTGGCAAATAATTCCCACGGAATGAGGCGCAGCCAGGCTTGGCTCACAACAAGTACATTGGTCAAGCAAGCAATGATGGCAGGATACCATCGTGATCCGAGCCGGTACACACGGATCTCCGTATTCAATAAGGAGATGCGACGGCGACTATGGACAACCATTGTGGAACTGGACCTGCAGATTGCGCTTGACCGGGGAATGCCACCTTCAGTACAAAGCTTCGACTATGATGTGGCGCCGGGCCTGAACATTTACGACGACGACATCCACGAGAACGGCACTGAAATTCCTGAATGCCGCCCACTGAATGAAGTTACCGACTCATCTTTCCAGTCTATCATGAGTCACTCGCTACCTCTTAGACTTCAAGCATGTTCTCTCATGCACTCACCACGGATCAGCTGTCGATATGAGGATATTCAGCGCCTAGACGGTGAGCTCACCCGGCATCTTTCCCGGATTCCTTCGTGGGTGATAGCAGACCCCAATGACATCGTCGCCCAACACAAAGTAATATTGTGGAAAGGGTTGATTGAGACCAAACTTTCCCAGTCCTTACTATCTGTCCACACCCCTTTCGCTATTGAAGCACGACGAGAATCACTCTTTGCTCCCTCCGCGCGTACTCGCATGGATGCCGCGATCAGAATACTGTCAACCCAGCGCCGGGCACATGAGATCTCGCGAGCGCTATCGCTATCTATGCTTGGTGAATGGACTATTCAAGCCTATATTTCCATCTGTCAATTGCTACACACAACCGAATTCGACACCTGTAAGTTTGCCCTGCGATTCAATACTTGACCATGAGAACTCAGACTCATACGTTGCAGCTGCCCCCTCCCACCCCATCTCATCAACCTTCATTCTCCACGATATACCCGGTATCCCCGAGTCGCTCCTATCACTCGTAGAAACAGCTCTGATCACCTTGGAAGAGCGCTCCATTTTAATGATTAAGGGTGCAAAAGACTATTATTTCCTCTCAACGATCGTCGCACTAGTTAAATCCCGACTCTGGCCGACACAGGCAAATATCTACAAACAGCAGGTTGTCGAGCGGGTCCTATCATTTGCGCAGATTCTCTTCACCCGTCATATGAACTGTGACCACCTCGGCGACAAGGGGATGGGCAATTTCAAGAACAACCAACTGGCTGCATTTATGGCGGCTCCCACAATGGTACCTGTGATGCAGCCCGAATTCGATTCCAATGGGATGCATCCACCGCCGCAATCTGGCGTGATGGTGAGCTCCACGTCATCCTTTGTTCCCTTCTTTCATGCTAACTATGAGTTCCCAGCCGCCTGGCGAGTTCGATCCGTTCCTGGAGATCTTCGATTGGGAGGATCTGACAAGCATGACGTTTCCCTGTTGAGCAGGGGGTTCGAGCGGGATTTGACATTTTATGCACTGTACGATATATGTCTGATCTTTCTGGATTTGCTATGCCACTATCATTGTACATATTTCTTTCTCACGGAATACCCATAGGAAATGTCAAGAAATCTAGTTATCGCAATGCGGTCATTCACATGTTGCGTAATCATGAATGTTGTCAATCGGTCGGATCCACCATGAGATCATGATCGGAGATATCAGGGATTGACGGCATGCAAGGGGGCGCATATCAGACGGGAAAAACAGTCGCACTTAACATGGATTCTTATTTTCACCCTTACTCCCGAGTGCCGAGTCTTGTATAGAACTATTTTTCTCTAGCTTTGACAGTGGTGCATTGCTTTTTCAAAGAACCTTGCCTTCTAGTGTGAAGATTTATTGGCTATTGGTTGTCATGCTAGCTACCTGGCCCCAGGGACTATGTTGTACATCCACAACATATATTATATGGTATGGATGTCTCGTAAAAAGCAATACTAAGGACTAGACATATAAAGAATAAACAACGAAACACAGATGTAGCCAGGGAAACCCGCCTCGACCAAAGCCAACCGGAACAAACCAGGTGCCTTGAGAGTTGCGGGTCTAGTACCTAGCGGTACCTCGGTACAAGGCAGAAGTAGCCGTGGAGCTAGGTATCATCAGGTACCATTCCAAATATAGCAGCCTAGAACCCCTAAAACACTTGGCTTCGCAATTAACTTCGATGAGGCTCGAAGGCTGTGCTTCTTTTTATTTTTTCTTTCCTTTCTCCTTGCCACTTGCATATTTATACCATGTGTTTCTCCCTCGCTTGCTTCAATTCTCCTATGCCCACTTCTACTCTACCTGCTTTCTTCCCCCTTTCCCTGCATTAACCATTCAAACCATCCATCAATTGAAGAAAAAAGAACAGCCATGTGTATCACGATCTGATAACTCCCCATCCCCCGGCCAGCCAGGCCTATACCCCTCATATAATCCCTGCATCCGCATCGCACATAATCTTATGTACATAATCACCCCGATGATGTATCACCTCTCACTCCTCCTATCAATAATCATCGCGATCGCAGCCCCACTGGCGGACGCTGTCCCAACCCAAGCCCTAGGACACAATGCGAAACAAGTATACCAAACAACAGACAAATTCCCACTCGCAAACCCAGGAAATATCGCAGTCCATGACCCAAACATCATCCTCCACGACGACCACTACTACCTCTTTAAAGGCGGGATCAACATCCCAATCTTCAAATCAGCCAACATATCCGGCCCATGGGAACAGCTTGGCACAGTTCTAGCCGGCGACAGCATAATCCCAAAAGGCAACCAGTCACGACCCTGGGCACCAACAACAATCGAGAAAAACGGCATGTTCTACTGCTACTACACGGTGAGCGCGAAAGGATCCCGCAATAGCGCGATTGGCGTCGCAACGACAACAGCCCTTGACGGCAGTCCCTGGATAGATCACGGTGTTGTCATTAACACGGGCAAAGGCGCTGGGTCCGGGGTGTGGCCGTACACGATCACGAATGCCATCGATGCGTCTGTGAGCGTTGACCAGGACTCCGGTCAAACCTATCTCAACTACGGAAGCTTCTGGCAGGATATATGGCAGGTCCCGCTGGCGGATGATTTGCTTTCTGTCAAGGATGCTGAGGCGCCGGATGCGGTGCAGTTGACATTTATCCCACATGCGAAGTCTAAGCCTGAGGAGGGCTCGTGGATGAGTTTTCGAGAGGGGTACTATTATATTTGGTTCAGTCATGGGAATTGTTGTAACTTCAAGGACAGATTTCCTGCGCGTGGGAAAGAGTACAGTATTCGCGTTGGGAGGTCGAAAAGTGTGCGTGGGCCTTTCGAGGATATGAAGGGGAAATCGTTGCTTGATGGAGGTGGTACGGTGGTTTATGGTTCTAATCATGGGGTTGTGTATGCACCTGGTGGATTGGGTGTCTTGGCAGGGAATAACGATTCCATGCCCGATATTCTATATTATCACTACTTGAATACGTCGACTGGGTTCAAGCATGGGGTGAGTCATGATGTCGTCTTTGTTGTCGGGTTTTTATTCGAACTAACTGTTCTCGCAGCAAGCTCAGCTCGGCTGGAACTATTTGCACTATGAGCATGGGTGGCCGGTGACTGCTGGAGGCCAAAATGCCACAACCAGTGCTGCCTTCGTTTATGGACCTCGACTTCCTGGCTGGGGTTATCTAGTGGTCATTTTCGGTACGAGAGGACTGTCCAATGTTTATATGTTCCATGCTAACGCCCGCCTATAGGTTTATTGCTGTGCGTATTCTCATAGCAGTGGCCCCGCCCTGTTTCTTACATCGATTGCCTCGTGTTCCTTTCTTCGTGCTTTTCAGCGGCTGTGCTCATATATCATGGCGGTGGCGTTCCTGGCATTATGTCTCTCATCTAGCGAACATTTCATCCGTTCATCATCATTATCAATGCATGTCATTAACATATCAAGTCATGGCGCTATATCCAACAATCCATGCCCTAACCCTCAACCTCGCTACATGCCTTTCAAACCAATAACTTATTCCCACCCACCATCAACGCTAAGAATCTGTCCAGTGGTATACGACGAAGCATCACTGAGCAAGAAAACAACCGTCTGAGCAACCTCCTCGCCCGTCCCTATGCGCGGGATACTAACTGGCGGAATAGTAATTCCACCCTGAATTTCCTTCGCCATCTCCAGCAAAGGTGTCTGAATCGAACCACTAACACAGCCCAATTAGTGAATGCCTTTACCAAAAGAAAAGAAAAGAAAAACCCCCGTCCAACACAAATACTCACGGCGCAACAGCATTAACCCTAATCTCCGGCCCAACCTCTTTCGAAACCGACTTCGTCAACCCAGAAACAGCATGCTTCGTAGTCGAATAAGCAGCATGCAACGCAAACCCCTTAAGCCCCTGAATACTCGACGCATTAACAATACTACCCTTTCCCCCAGGCGCAGTCGCAGTAATCGCCCTGAGCTGCGCGCGCAGACAATACATCAACCCGGTGACATTGACGCGCATCAACATATCCCACTCTGCGTCATCCTGATCGACGAATTTTCCAGTGCCATGTTGCTTGCCGATCGTGCCGGCCATGTTGGCTGCGCCGTCCAATCGCCCGAAGTGCGACACCGTGCTGGCGATCCAATCTTGTACGGCGGTCATATTGCTGATGTCCAATGCAGTTGTTGTGATTGTCAAGCCTGTTGAGGCACCGAATTCGGTTTCGATTGTTTGTCGTGCTGTGGAGAGGACCTTTTCGCTTAGGTCTGCGAGGGAGAGGAGGGCGCCTTGCGCGTGTAATTGGCGTGCGACGGCGAGTCCGATTCCGCCGAGGCCCGTTACGGCGTACACTTTGCCTTTGACGGAGTCCATTTTTGGCGTGGGTTTATTTGGGTATGTGTCGGCTTTGTGGGGTTGTTATGAATTGCGAGTGTTGTAGCTTGTGCTACATGTGGGATGTGACGGTTACCTTGAATGATGGCGGGGATATAACGTGGGGTCGGAGATTCTCCGTGGGTAATCTGGGGTCATGTTCGGGTATTTTGGAGTTGCATTTTATGGAAAATAGGCTAAATGGTGTAGTTCAGGCATCATTGGATATCAATCTACCCCTGAGTCCCATTTGTCGGTAATTCAAAGTATATATTCCTACACACTCTGCCAGTATAAGAAACATATTAGACGAAGTCAAAATTCATTTACCAAATCTACTTGGAATTTATTTTGCATTTTCGAAATATCATCAATGCTCATCACTTATGGGTCTCTCGGATCAAACTCACCTGCTTGATGTAGGCTTGCGGTTATATGCGGTTGGGTTCATTGCATACTCCGTGGCGTATGATGCTGCAAAGTGGCTTGCATTCCAGATATGGAAAGACCTTATTTATTTGAAAAGCCAAGTTGATTGGGGGCTTGCCAAGAAATCTATATTTCCACCGTTCCAAGGTTGAACCTAAATTGGTAATTGGTATAAGAATATCTTAAGTCCGAGTTCTTCATATACACTGCATCTAGCGACAAATGTGCATCAACTGAAGCTCTCAGGTCCGAGCAAGGGAGGCTAATGGATTCAATTCTGACCTAGCCTAAGCCATATGAATTGAATATATCTCCGAGAAGTTTTTGCGTATATTAGCATTCCAGCAGTATCTACCGCAATATGTTCACATCTCACCAAACCAACTTCATAAATCACAAATGGGTATCTCAAAATACAACAAAATCAACAACCCTCCAATCCCATCAAATAAACATTCCCGACAGGAGCATTCCCCCAATCATCAAAGACATCCAACCCACCGCGGGACGCCTGATTGTCCCAGAACTCTTATCCAGTTTGGTCCCATGAACAACCTGCTCAGCATTCAAACAGTACATGACCCTCTTCGCTTCAGCCGAATTTGTCGAATCACAGATAGCCGTGCAAGGGTCCGGATCCTCAGAAATCCACACCCCATTCGAACAGCAAGACTGCAAAACCGCCTTCATATCTCTGTAGTGATCTTTCGTTTGGTACAACGGGACCTGATTATAATATTCGATATTGGAGGGCATGGCCGACACCGCGTCGCGCGAGTTGTAGCATTCAGCCGGCTGTGTGAATTGTGTGCCGTTGGAGTTGTTTGTTATGGGAGGTGTCATGGTGATTTGCGCTTGCCGGGGTGATCCGGTTCGGGATATTTCGCGACGCGACGCGAATCAGGATTTTAGCTGTTATTTAGGGTGGGGAAGTGCAGCCGATCGTGGTTCGTGGAGAGAGAAAGAGGTGTGGTTCGACAGCATTCGCAGAGGGAAGGGATAGTCGGGGGATTTTAAAGGGAAAGGACCGCGGTGATTTATAAGGGCATATGAAAATCGTAAATGGGTCCTAAGCTCTCTCTCTCTCTCTTTTTAGGGAACGGGAACTCCTGAACTCGGGGGGAAGAGTGCCAAGCCCGTATTGCCCGTAGGTTGGGATATTGGCCTGGGAAGTGGAGTCGGCGGCCTAAGCATTCAGCTGCAGGGATGTGGACTTATTCGTTGATCTTTCAGGGTCCCATTGGTCTATTTAATCTAGGTAAATGGTGCTAACGTGCTAACATGAGACAAAAGGGGGAAGTGGGAACTGATCATTTGGTTTCTCCTTGCTTAGCCATTTACTTTGTGATCTATGTATACTGGACGTCGTTCTATCTACGGAGTATGGAGTCCTCCTTTACCCCCTCGAGAGCAATACCTCAATACCCCTTGACACCAATAACCCTTACGGTCATATTTACAACCGAGCGGTTTGATTGGCTCGCCGCCACATTTGCTTTCTGCGCTCATGGCCTTCGTTGAAATCTGCCAGCCATTTCTGCTCGAATCGAGGTAGGCGCCGCCCTACGCCACCACGAGGTTCTCCCGCAAGTTCGCGGAGGCTCTCGAAGTAGGGCTCGAATTCGGGGTTGAGGACTGTGAACCCGGGGCCATCGCTCTTCTCTGCAATACGGTCGGTTTCCCATTTTTCCTGCTGGGCGATCGAGGGCAGGTTTACTTTGCCGGCTAGAACGCGTGCAGCAGCGACGGCTTGCCATTCGAAGACTTTGAAGGTCAATCCAGCACCAACCTGAACAAGATTTTGTTAGCTTTTGCTTCGGAAATTTTTCTTCGGTTTGATAGACTTACAGCGCCGACAAAAACCAGGGATGGATCATGTCTATAAAAGACATGTTGGTAGAGATCCGGCACACGGTTGTTGCGTGTGGCGACCTGAGGCAGGAAAGGCAGGGTCCAGCTAAAGCCAGTTCCAAAAACCAGATGGTCGACACCGGTTTCAGAGGTACCATCTTCGAAATGCACAGTCCGTTCGCCTTGGTCATTACTGGTGATGTGTGAGATGGGCGGGCGACGCTGGATCTTAGGGTGCTGGAAAGCGAGATCTCCGAAATAGGCGTTATAACGACCACGAACCACAGCAATGACTGGTGTCTGAGCACTATCAACCAGGCTCACTGCCGTATCAGCGGCAGAAACAGAAGCTCCGACGGTGATGACTTTCTGCGATGTGTAAGCGGGTGGTCGAACAACATGATGGAAACTTCATTTACCTTTCCCCGATATTTCTCAGGCCCGCGGTAATGCTTGGTATGTTCAACACTACCAGGATACCTCGCAGCAAACTCCTTCAACCCAGGAATCACAGGAATAAACGGCACTGCGTAATGGCCCGAAGCCACCACAACTGCATCATATTCCTCAGACCACCAGTAGTCCGACTTGGCACCGTCGAGAACTTCCGTCCGGCGGAATGTAAGCACCCATTTTTGGCTGCTGGGATCTTTGATCGCGCGTTCAACAGTAGTGTTGTACTGAACAAGATCCTGATACCCCTTCCGGTTAAACAGGCCCTCGATATACTTCTGTATGACCGAATGGTGCCGGAAAGGCGTGTCTGCGCCATGACGCTCGATCGACCACTGCGATCGAACTGTAGGGATCTCCTCTTGAGAGAATGACATGGCTCCCGCGTTCACATTAGTCTCTAGCGTCGGGTACACGGGAGAGTCCGTGAACCGATCCTGCGAGACCACAGGCGTCCGGCACGGGAGGTGCTCTGGAATTTTGAGAGGCGCATCTGCTGTTCGGGCAGATAGACCATCAAAGTCGAACCGCTGAGGCGGCTCATTATCTCGTGACACCCTACGGTTTATTAGAGTTGGGAATAGGTGAATATATTACAGTAACATACCAGCATCCGCCCGCTTTCTCTTGTCTTTCAAATACGCGGATAACATCGAATGCTTTCTCTTGTGCTAGTGCATCGACTGCAATGGCACCAGCTGGACCAGCCCCGATGATGGCTATGCTTTTGATCTGCGGCATGGCGTGATATTATGGATGTTTGGGGGAGAACTTGGGTATATAGCCGCTCTTTAACGTCCAAAATTATCTCGGCCGAGCACTCAAAAATGGGAATATTTGGGGAGCAATAGTTTGACTCTATCACGCCATCCGACTCGGTTTTAGTGCAAATTTTGGCATTGGCGTCCAATGAGAGCTCGGGATATATATGAGATAGGTAGTCAGACTCACAGTATATAAACGAGAACGGCTTCCCTTTGAATACATTAATGTCCGATTTGAATATGCCCAGGCACTCAAAATTGAAAAGTTTCTATCTTCCAACGGCCGGGAATCTCAGCCATTGATATGATTGGCTGTCGGCAATGAAGTTTTACAGTCACGTGGGGATAACCCGGGGTACTTCAGGAACTGCATTCTGATTGGTTGAAAGTTGACGCCTCGGGGTTCAGGCCACGAATCATGAATGTGAGATTCACAACAGTATTAGCAACTGTCAAGAGGAGGCCGCCCAGGTGGTTTTTTGGAAGGTCCCTTCATTCCTTTCTACTCATGGTGGTGACTATCTGAAATTGGTGTTCTTTACCGTATTGATAGAATCTTTTGGATGCAGTTCTAGCTAAGGCTTCATTAGTTAGATATTTGTTGCCGGAAAGCTCTATTTGATTCCCTCGTACCTACTGATCATGTCCAAATTCAGGAACCATAAAACCAAACAAAGTTTGGATATTATATTGGGTCGTCCTCGGATTCTCAGGCACAAGATGGAAGGTCGCCCCTGGCGTGATGGGGTAGTTTAGAAAGTCCCTTGGTGACCACGACTCTATCATATTATCTTGTAACCCAGCGTTATTGTTATCGTTACTATTCGTTTCATTCGGCTGCATGGAAATCTGAACAAAGTTAGGTACGGAACAGGCCGTATTCAAATATTCAAGGCAATGGTTTACCTCGGTGTCAACCGATGTGAATCCGGTAATCGACGAGCCCATGTCAGCGGGTTCTTGCTGTGGTGGTCGTAATTGATTGCTGTCAAAGTCCTTGACAAATTGCCGTGCGATATGTGCAAATTCGGTGAGAATTGACCCGGGCAGGAACCCTCCAGACTTGTAATCTAACATACTGAAGTGACCGACCGCTACATCCAATAGTGCAAGGTTATTCCGCGTCTCTGGATGAGTTGGATTGTGGACGATGAAGTCAAATAGGATGAACAAAGCTGCGAGGGGTAAAACGGACAGAATGCTATATCAGAGGTCAGTTTCTGGCTTAACAATCCGTCAGAAACAACGTTTCTCCGCCATCACGGAGACACGTCGAGAGATAATGTTGCTTACAAATTCGGCGTGTGGGCAGCTATGTCGACATTCTTGCTTCCTTCCACGATCGCTCTTGCGGTATACATGAGTAATCGTTTGCTCTTTTCCTGTCTTAGTGACTGAGTTTGTCTGCTGACGTTCACATTAAGCCTCGATAGGGCGATGGTCAAAGCGTAGTAGGAGAAATTGGTATGCAGAACGATCATTTTGAAGCTCGGCTGCGGAAAGAAGGAAGACAGCGAGTTCGGGTTAAGAAGCGGCATGCCAGGCCGAAAGCCCACAGGCACTGCTGTTCGCCATTTTTCTAATCGAGCTTCAATCTCATCGATCGCGATATGATGCGCCTCCGTAGTTTGAAGGGCAGCACTGACCGAGAAGACACATGTATATGCTTGCGAGAGAATTCGACCAAACTTGATGGCAGACAGAAACCAGTTATACTCCCCGAAGACGGATTCCGGGACGTCAGGAATTGGACAACCGATGTCATAGTCTGAGATCATCTGGTTTGAGGTTAATACTATTTTGACTGTTGTCTCTATTTACCTACTGAGCTTTTGTTGCCGTGGAAAGATATTTGCTTTTCCATGTAGTATAGGACCCAGAAAGTTCTGTGACAGGTATTTTTGTGTCGCTGGTCCCCGGTGGCTAGTGCTCTGTGGTAACCGAGACCTTGGGCCATTCGCGTGGCTTCCATGAGCAAGACCTCGTCGATTTGAAGACAACAGGTCGTCATAGTGAATATTGACTAAATAACACAACTCATTATCGTATTAGCCAACTCACTTCAACCCACCTTTCACTTCTTGTCTTGAATCGTCGCCACGTACCATGGCAATTAGAGCCTAATTCCTTGTTGTCAGCTAACTACCGAGGTAACCACCGCAAATAGCATACCTGAAGGCTCATCAAGGTTCCTTGCGGCATCAGTATATCCGACACAAGACCCAAAGACACCTGGAAAAGTTTCCACGCCTTTCCACTTCCAGGATCAAAAGCCCCACCTTCGTGATACTGGCATCCTAGCGCCAAAACGGTGTGATATAAAGCCGAGAATGCAGAGTTGGCACACAGATCCTCGGAGAGATTGGGCCCAAACACCTTGTCCTCGAAAGCATCACGATCCAGAAATGGATACGTCGGGTGCAGTTGGTTGAAGTAAGCTGCATAAGTTTCCCAGAAGGGTTTGTCAACAATGAGAGGACAGGAGTAGACAGGAATGAATCAGCTCACAGTCAGTATATAGCCTAATCTTGTCTGGTGAGACTTGTTCGATATCAGACGGATGTTTAAACGAGATGGGCGATGAAGTTGGGCCCTGGGCGAGAAGCCGAGATCGGATGATTGATTCCATAGTTTCCACTAGCTGGTTGAGCCGGTCATTCCCTAATTGTTGCGACAAGGACCGGATTCGACGCTCGGAGAAAAAGGCAAGACTGGAACTAGTCACTTGAAAAGAAAAAATTGTCAGGACAGGGCTGCTTAAAAGATGGACTTTTGCGGTAGCATACCGTCATGGTCAGGTGCCTGGGTCCAAACATATGGTTAGTTTAAGAGATATTATGAGACAGATTTTTGAGAAGCTGACCCTCAGTAAGGGACTTGTATCCCGAAACACCCCAGAAGTACCGTGATTTTCCAACATGTGGTCAAGAAATACTGGCGGGACACTCGTTTGAATGCAAGTTTGTTCACTCGAAGGCTCGAAGATCGGCCCCTGGTGCTGACTGGGTGTCGCATCTACTCATAGTCTTTAGGAATCTGGACCATGAATTGAATCTGAGGGGCGTTCGAATCGTAAGTACATACGGTTAGGTTCAGGGGCACATTTCCTTAGTTTACGCTTGCTCGGGGGAAAATGGCAGGTCTCCTTCCGCTTCTAGATCGAGAAATGATTCAGTTGCCGATATGAATCCTAGTTCGAATCCTCATCATCTTACAATGCAATTGGTGCACCGGATACGTTGTCCGGGGGGCACTAAGAGATAGATATAATTACAATCAACGTTCCCAAGACCAAAAGGGGGTATCAACGTACTGATGCAGCGGACTTTCCGGCTCCTGCACTGGTCACAAGTCTTGCAAGTCATTTTTGCCGAGGCTTTAGTCCCATTCTCACTCATCATTATTGTAAAGACTGGCGCAACCTGGGAGATTTTCGTTGGATGAGCTTTCAGATGTTGGGATAACGTGGGAAAGGTAAGGTGGCAAAGGGCTGAGCTCGGGAGTCAAGCTTCGTGCTGCGCCACAATTTCAAACTTAATCCACTTGCGGTTCAACTGGTCAACTCGTTGACCGAAACAGCAGACTGGAGGCTTTGCGTCTTGCTTCATTTTATATTATATTTAAAGCCAGATCAACCGGGTCTTCCAAAAACACCTATTTGTTGTCCTACTTCAACCAGATTTCCGCGTTAAATCAAACGAATAGTGTCGACAATAATTTCAAATTGCAAAATGGACTGGATATGTATTATACGACGACCGTGCCGCGGTGCCTATGAATTCGGTGATAACTTTTAAGGGTTTTTGGGGTTTCAAATCAGTAAATAGAACGTATAACGAACCGCTCCAGGGATATTCCAAAAGTAAATAGCTAAATCACCACTAAAGTCCATTCTATTGAGGTTGCTACAAAATTGGTATCAAATCCAGACAAAAAGAGGCATACAACCCAAACACAGTACCCATCTAGAAGATCTCCGTAATGTATCGCTCCTCAGCTAACGTGCCAAACATGTTTTCCAACACGCCCTTGACCCCTTTGGCTAGGTTGGCCGAACCACAGAGATAAAGTGTTGCATTCTGAGCCCACATGTCCTGGACGGTCTCGGTTTCGGTAAGCAACCGGTGTTGCACATACCGGCATCCCTTGGCCAGGTAGTGATTCGGGTCTTTACTGTATGCCCTCCGGACCTCGACCACGCCCGCAGATTCAAACTCAGATAGTTCGTCGTGGTAGAGATCATCGAGCTGGGCACCGCGACAGCCGAAGAACAATAGCGCCTTTGCGAGGGGTTTGCCCTGTTGCAGCCAGGTCATGCGGTCCTGGATAAAGCTGCGGAAGGGCGCAAGGCCGCTACCTGCGCAGATCATGATGATTGGCTTACTGGACTGGTCTTCCGGGAGATGGAAGGCGGGTTTGGCTGGTCGTGGAGATACATAGAGAATCGACCCTGGGGTCAGCGAGGCGAGATAGTTCGATCCGACGCCTAGATACCGACCATTTCCCCTCCATGCTGGATCATTGACAATGGAGAAGGTGAGCGAACAGTGCAAAGGCTTGAAGGAGGGAGCCATGGAAAGGGAGTAAGTGCGAACGCGCAAAATGGGGAGCATGGAGATAAATGTGGCGATAGGAAGTGTGATGGAGGGGAAGTGTTCGAGGAGATCCAAGACCGAGACATGCTTATCTCGGATAAGCGAATCGTAAGAATCGTGGAAATCGAGGAGCTCTTGTTTGTCTTCATCTGACGGAGTGGCGGAGGCGAGACTTTTGAGATTCTGCGGGGTCATTAGTTAGCCAAGTCCGTTGAATTTGAGTGGCTTTGGGAAATATTATTATGGGACCTACATTCCGTGTTGCCGGTTGAGATAGCTCCAGATACGAGCTGAACAGTTCGGCCGCCGACACTGGTTGGGCCTGGGGCAGATCGAGCGCATTGGAAGACTTGAACGTGATGATATGATCAGGCGCGAGATTGAATTGAGCTAGTGCTCTCAAAACCGTGCTAGGCGGATTGACGGGGAGGATATTGACATGGTCGCCTGGACGGAGGGTAGTTTCGCTCCGGATGCAAAATTCAACATGCCGCTTCTCCGGAACCCCGGGGCTCGTTAGCGTCCGGATGGCAGTCACCTTACCCTCGATGAGGTCCCGGTGCATACCCACTCTTCCGGGCTTGCTGATACTGATCTGGAGCTGGTGCGGATCTAGTGGTTTGAAGTCGCTGCTGTTGGAGAGGTCGAACTTCTCCCGAAGGGCGGGCAGTAGGTTGGTCTCTTCCCACTCTTCGAGATCCGAGAAGAGATCGCTGATGGCGGCATTGGCTGCCCCTCTGATTGCGAGACGCGTGGCTCCAGCCTTATACATTAGGTCATCGATCAAGACCGGGATGCGATAGAATGTCTTGGTCCAGTCTTGATGACCACATCCAAAAACTGCGTAAGAAACGCCATGAAGAGACGGGACATTGCCGCTTTCAAGCCAGGCGAGAAATCTCTTCGCATCGTCCGTAGGCTGCCCATCGTATGTGGTAGTTACGATAATCGTTGGCTGATCTTTCGGCAGATTGTCGACGGCGCTATCAAGTGGCGCTAGATGCTGGTTGCTAAATCCGCGAGTCGTCATGGTCGATGCCAGGCGGTGGGCGAGAGCTTTGCATGTTCCGCTGTTGGAACCGTAGAAGAAGGAAATCGGCTGACCTCCCGCTGCGCCCTGGCCGTTCTCATTCCCGGCTAGATGAGTTGACGACCCCGGGCTGGCAGTAGCGCCCGCCGACAAATTGTGTTGGGATAACGCCGTGGCACTCTGGCCGTGACGCAGAGTTGCTCGGACCCGGAAGCCATCGGGCTTGATTGTAAGAGTCTCTTTGATGCGCAATTTATAGTAAGGATCCTCTGCTACCAAGTCAAATGTTCGAAGGATTGAGGCAACCACCAGTTGAGCTTCCTGCCAGGCAAATGCCCTGCCAATGCAACCGCGTTCGCCGTTGCCAAAGGGTTTCCACGAGTTAGGTGGGAGCTTGGAGAAGTTCTCTTCCAGCATGCGGTCCGGGCGAAACTCGTCCGCGTCGGGCCCAAAGACAGCCTCGTCTCGCAGACAGGAAGGCAGCAGTACGTGAATGGTTTGTCCAGGATTGACCATCCATTTATCGCCCAGCACATCCGGCTTCTTCGGTGTGACGGTAAAGCCCGGGGCGGTGGGCATCAGGCGCAAACTCTCTTTCATGATTGCATCGATGTAAGGAAGCTTTGCTAGATGTTGCACCGTGATTGGCCCCAACCCGACGACCTCATCAACTTCGTTCCGGGCCTGCTCCAAAACCTTTGGGTGTTGTAACAGGTAATAGAATGTAAATGACAATAGACCGGAGGTAGTCTCATGACCCGCGATCAAGAAGGTGATGATGTTGCTGATGATCAACTCATCGCTCATGCCTTCACCGGTGACTGGGTCACGCCCGTTCAGTAGTGTGTTTAGGAGATCGTCGACTGGCTCCGGCTTTTCTCTGCGCCCTTGGATGATGTCGCCAGCTATGGCTCTCATTGCCCCGATATGCTTGGACATGCGCCGCTGCGCCTTCACACGCACGCAGTTTGCGACACCGGGAAGTGTTGCCTGGATATCGGCCTCCTTCAGCACGTATAGCATGGATTGTACAAACGGGTGCATTGTCTCGTTGTTGTAATAGCTATTCAACCGGAAGCTCATCGTGCAGAGGGCGATGGTGTCTAATGTGAGGCGGGTAAAATCCTCGGAGATATTGATACTGGCTGAACTTCCCTGGCGGGCCCTATACCAAAATAACCAAACAACCCAGTCAGCTGTCCTTGTATCTTCTAGTTTGGTCCTTGAGGTATATCTTAGGGGATCCCTACCACTTGAAACATAACTGTTGCACAACATCGTTCATATCCTCGAACATGTCGCGGATGCGCAGCGGGCCAAACGCAGGCATCAGTATCCGATGAGCAATACCCCAACCGCGCTCTCCATGGTGGGCTGTGAAGAGGCCATCCTGGGCCAGCATTCGTAACTTTTCAATTCCGCCTATGACAGCCTTGTGGAAGCGGGTTTCGTCACACAGCTCATCGACCAGAGCCTGGTTGGTGGCAAAGATCTGCTTCTCGCCGTTTATGGTAATTTGGAAGAGTGGTCCTGCGGTGTGTGGTTAGTGATGCTGATCTCTATTTCACATTTAGGCAAGAGTGAAGTACCGAACTCGTTCGCCATTTCGATAATAGACATTAGGGCATTATCGAGGTCGAGGTCGAACAAATTTCCCACCACCGGCAGGGCTATATCAACGGTCAGTTAATAAATATGCAAAAGGAAAAATAACTGCACCAGCAACACGATTTCAGCAGAGAGTGCTAGTTGCTTACGTTTTGGACCGGGAATACAATCCGTATTTTTCATTGCTTTCGACTAGCAGTTATGCTTTGTAGAGATAATATAAACATGAATTGATGAATGATATAAAGGTCTAATTTGGAACAATATTGCTACTTATACACCATAGCGCTGTTCATCAACCTAAAACGATGCCGCCTTAGCGCTTGGAAGTGGGGCATACCGATTGCAGGAAGAGGGGCTCGGTGTTCGGTGTTCGTTGTGCCATGAAACTCTATAGTTATCTAGACAGTCAACTTCGGCCATGTTTCACCGAGGTCAGGCATATCTATATCGAAGGGGGCGCAGTGATTTTTTGGCCGAGTCTTGACCTTCGAGTGGACGAAGTACCTTAGGTTCTATCCATATCTCATATATCCTAAATGAGGTTATTTGTGTTCAGAGAAATTGGACATAGATTAAAAATATGACCACAATAGGATTGATCTATATATTGTAGTGGGGAACTCTGTCCTCTACTATATATATATTGGCCTTGTCTGTTGTTTATTTACTGTGTAGATTTATTATGAAATCGCCGAGGTACGGAGGATACAAGTAGCAGATGGTTACATATTGACAATACCCACTTCTACACCTCTCCGAATTGACTTCTTGGGCCTTACGCCTGGGTTCCTCTGCATGCAAAGTTGGGTACGAAGCTGAATGCCGAATCCCACCGTATGCCTTTAAGCATACAGTCTTAAGCGTTCCCATCTTCAATATCTAAAATAGAGAAAATGTACAGAACAATTTCTATTCATATCGCTTAATACCGGATTCCCTGTTATATAACTCATCGAGTGGGTTCTTCCTCGATGGTATCTACAGTGTCCGAACTGTTGCACTCTGTCTGCCTTTGTAGCTCCCAGGCTAATCGCAACCCCCTCCAGTAGTGCCTCTCTCGCCTCAACTCCACCTGAATCCAGATCACCGTCAGTACAGCCCAGGTCCCCGCCCAAATAGCGGGTACCGACCAGCCAATCTGTAACAAGTCGCCGCAGAACTTTAGTTTCTCATCATGTCATACCTTGGAGGTCAGACACACATACCGTGTAAGCCAGTTCACGGTCCGCAATGAAAACTCCCGCCAGCGTTCCCCCCGCTACCACCACTTGAGGCACCGCCCATAGCATCGTCAGTCGGTGCAGCATACTGCGAAATGGCGGACTGCATTTGTATCGCTGATCCAGGCGGTCCCTAAATCTTGTTCCTCCTTTACCATCCACCGCGATGATGTCTTCCAGAAGTGCATACAGAGCAGGACGCATTGGTTCCCCTTTCGGAACGGAGGAAATGCGGAACGGGGTGGGCACCTCGAAAACGTACATGAACTCGAAAACCAGCATCTCGAGTGCGAAGACGAGGAAAATCGAAGGCACTGGCATCGCCAGAATGCGCATCCAGGGTGGGTCTGGGACGGTTCCGACGACGAGTTCGGCGATGATGATAACCCAAGAGACTAGGATATTCCAGTGAGTGAAATCAAACTGCATGGATTAAATTAGCGGGAATTGTCGTTGGTAGGATAGAAGGGAGAGCAGAATCTTGAGGAGGGATGCTGACACAGTAGCGGCCTACGTTGGAAACGCGACAGGTGGACTTTTTCCGCCAAAGATGCCACGATCTCTGCAATGATTCGGTTACAAATGTTCCGAATAAGGTCATAGTCAGGACAGTAAAGACTGCGGAAAGCAATGCCCAGTTAGATCTCATCACAGTAAAGTCGAGCAGTTAACGTACTAGTCGTGAGTGACCACGTCGTAGTTCTGGTCAGGAGGTAGTAGAGCCCGATGGGTAAGAGAAACGAGTCAAAAAACACCAGCAGCCAGAATAACAGGATGCGCAGTTTCCTTTTGGCCAGGCTGTAATTTAACGGTAGAGGCTCTAAGAATCGCTGAGACTCGGACATCTTGTTTTGTCGGTTATACACTGCAAATGAATAGCAAAACACCACAAAAGGAAAATAGAGATTGGATTACTGTCTTTGATGTGCCACACTTTAACCTTACATTTATTAACGTTACAATAGGTTTCACTCTTAAACCCACCTCTAGAGGCCTTGGTGGAGAAGGATTCAATCCTTTTTTTAGCTGCACCGAACACCGAGCTACGTCAGCCTGCGAGTCCCGAAGACCGAAATTCTGGCTGATTTGAACACGGAAGAGTTAGTTAGTCAATCTCTAATAGGGGCATCTGACCTAGGTATTAAATTCCATAGACTCGCCCAGCAAAGGTAAAAAATATGGGAGAGAAAAAAGAAAAATAAGAGCTCACACATCATTATCTACATTCACAGGGTCTCCTGCAGATGCCCTAATATCTTCACAGCAACACGCCACCATGACAGAGGGCATTGATCTAACGAAATATCCCAATCTCACAAATACTTGGAATTCAACTCCCAGTCCGGAAGAAAATGAAGGAGAAAACAAGGGGAACGATGTTGACCGAACAATTCGCAGACTAGCAAGCCGCGCCTCACGACATACCGTATCCTCAGAGGTATCCAAGCCCTACAATAGTATTTTCGATCCTCTGCCCGATTCGGATCTTGACCCACAGTCATCTAATTTCAACACTCGGGCTTGGGTGGAAGCGCTCCTTCGATACGAGAACGATAATCTCGAGTCAGGCCGGCGACGGAAGTCGGGCGTCTGCTTCCGCAATCTCGATGTATATGGATTCGGCATGTCCACTGATTATCAGAAAAGCGTGGGAAACAGCATCCTGTCACTAATGACACAGCGGCGCAAACGACGAATCGACATCCTCCACGGGTTCGAAGGGCTGGTCAATGCTGGCGAGATGCTTTTGGTGCTCGGTCCTCCAGGCTCCGGGTGCTCGACTCTGCTAAAGACGGTCGCTGGGCAAATGGAAGGGTTGTTCTTGGGCGATAAGGTCATGATGAACTATCGAGGTACGTATGGCAGCGGCCTAGACCCATTCGCAAGAGACCTTAAAACCACCTACTTACCTATTTACCTGCTACTAGGCGTATCCAGCAAAGAAATGCACACTTACTTCCGAGGAGAGGCTATTTTCGCCGGTGAGAACGATGTGCATTTCCCTAGATTGTCTGTGGGAGACACGCTCTCTTTCGCAGCCCATGCCAGAGCACCACGCGAATTGCCCGCCGGGCTGAAGGCCGAGGAATTCTCCGCGCTCATGCGGGACGCTATCATGGCCATGTTTGGCATCTCGCACACGGCAACCACCATAGTTGGCAATGACTTTATCCGGGGGATCAGTGGAGGTGAGCGGAAACGTGTTAGTATTGCTGAAGTAGCCTTGAGCGATGCCGCGTTACAATGCTGGGATAACAGTACGCGCGGATTGGATAGCGCCAATGCAGTGGAATTTTGTCGAACGCTTCGGACGGGCACCGAGCTTTTACAATCAACCGTACTAGTCTCCCTCTATCAAGCGCCACAAGAAGCATATGATGTACGTGTTCCCCACCTTTTCATACTCTTCCCCTCGGTCATGGGAATATCGGCTCACAATAGGGCAGCTTTTCGACAAGGTCACAGTCCTTTATGAAGGACGCCAGGTCTTTTTTGGAAACGCATCCGAAGGGCGCGCGTATTTTGAAGAGTTGGGCTTTGAGTGTGAGTTTTCAGGGTTTCTTGGCCCTATTTTCTATGTTTGGTCGTGTCTGACTTGAATATCTCTAGGTCCCGAGCGACAGACAACACCGGACTTCCTCACTTCAATGACAAGCCCGAAGGAACGTCTCGTTCGGCAGGGCTTCGAAGATAAAGCCCCACGCACGGCAACAGAATTCGAGGAAAGATGGAAGAAAAGCCACCAGCACCAGCAGCTGATGCTTCAGATTGAAGCGTATGAAAGTAAATTCAGCCTCGGGAGCGAATTTCTAGATGAGTTCAAGGCATCCCGCAGAGCCCAACAGGCAAGCAGCCAAAGAATCAAATCCCCATATACGCTGTCGTACATGCAGCAGACATCTCTGTGCCTTTGGCGCGGGTGGAAGCGTCTCCTTGCGGATCCTTCCTTAGCCTACATCCAACTTGGAGGCAATTCCATCATGGCTCTGGTCTTGGGAAGCATTTTCTTCAATCTACACAGCGACACGAACAGCTTCTATGGACGGGGAGGGTTGATATTTTTCGCTCTACTGCTGAGTGCCTTTGCTAGTGTCCTTGAGGTAACGAGAACCAACGAACTGCTGCTTGCTACAACGCTAACGATATCCAGATCTTGACGCTTTATGAGCAACGGCCAATTATAGAGAAACACAATCGATTTGCTCTCTACCACCCATCTGCTGAGGCTGTGGCCAGTATGTTGACTGACATTCCATACAAAGTGCTCAACACGTTTTGCTTCAATCTCACGCTGTATCTCATGGCAAACCTTCGGCGAGAAGCCGGACCCATATTCTTTTTCCTTCTTGTTGCTTTCCTCAGCACTATGGTGACATCCAGCCTGTTCCGAACAATTGCATCTGTCTCACGTACCATGTCGCAGGCCATGGTACCAGCCGCATTACTCGTGCTAGGCCTGATCATGTACACCGGATTTACGATGCCAACCATGTACATGCCTGGGTGGTCGCGGTGGATGGCCTATATCAATCCGCTCAGTTACGCCTTTGAGTCTTTGATGATCAACGAGTTCCACGACCGCGATTTCTCGTGCTCGGCCATCATCCCCTCAGGGTCAGACTACAGCGCTGTTGGTATAACTAACCGGGCCTGTGCGGAGGTCGGAAACAGACTCGGCTCGATAACAATCCAAGGAGATATATACATCAACGATAAGTTCCAATATTACCATTCGAACAAATGGCGGTAAGTTTGGTCCATCATAATAGTGAGAGCTATTCGACCGATATAGAAACAAAAAAGAAACTGATATTCCACTAGTAACGTGGGAATCCTCATCGCCTTCTGGGTTGCCCTCACGATTGTTTATCTAGGCTCGACGGAGCTGCTCAGCATGGCTCAGAGCAAAGGGGAGGTTCTCATCTTCCGGCGCAGCCATTTTGTCAAAAGGAAATCCACATTCCGAACGGCCGAGGTCGACGACGAAGAGGGCCTCGGGGCCGAATTGGCCACAATAACGCAGTCAGTCACCACAGATGAGACACAAACAACCACCGACAAGGGCCAGATCTTTCAATGGGAAGATGTGTGCTACGATATCAAGAACAAAGGAGAGGTCCGACGTATCCTGGACCACGTTGATGGATGGGTTCAACCTGGAACCTTGACCGTCTTGATGGTACGTGTATAGATGTCACTATATGTTGCAAGAGAGTGATATGCCTAACACAAGATGAATTCTAGGGTGTTTCTGGCGCCGGTAAAACAACTCTCCTCAACGTTCTCGCCAACCGCACCACTACCGGTGTTGTAACCGGCACCATGCTCGTCGACGCTATGCCCACAGATGAGGCCTTCCAGCGCAAAACAGGCTACGTACAGCAACAGGATGTCCATCTCTCAACTTGCAGCGTGCGCGAGTCACTAGAGTTTAGTGCACTTCTCCGTCAACCGGCAAGCGTGTTGCGGGAGGAGAAACTCGCTTACGTGGACGAAGTGATCAAGCTCCTCGAGATGGAAGAATATGCGGATGCCATTATTGGTGTCCCAGGTGAAGGATTGAACATCGAGCAGCGCAGACGTCTCACCATAGGAATCGAGCTGGCTGCGAAGCCTGAGTTACTCCTATTTCTGGACGAACCGACCTCTGGACTCGACTCGCAGACCTCCTGGGCGATTTGCCAGTTGCTAAAGCGCCTTGCCCGTAGTGGCCAGGCAATTCTGTGCACGGTTCACCAACCGTCTGCTATGCTGTTCCAGGAATTTGATATCTTGCTGCTTCTCGCGAAAGGTGGCAAGACTGTGTACTTTGGAGGTTCGTCGACTGCGGAATCTCTCTCTCTCTCTCGTCCTCTCTGCCCAACTCGAGATAGCGAACACGCATGCTAATGATAGATTTTGCTTTTTCTTCCAGACATTGGCCAGAATTCGACTACCCTAATCCGGTATCTGGAGTGCAATGGAGCAAGCCAGTGTCCCCCCGGCGCCAACCCAGCCGAGTGGATGTTAACCGTTATCGGTGCGGCGCCCGGGTCCCAAACTACCCTCGACTGGCCAAAGGTTTGGCGAGACTCGGATGAATATCAGGCTGTCAAAGCAAAATTGCAAGAAATCCGAACATCAAAGACTGCTACGGGTGGCGACCTACAAATACAACCTTCCAGTCAGACTAACAACGGGTCATATGCAGCATCTATGGTACAGCAGTGGTGGTTGGTTCAGAAACGTGTTGCGGCACAATACTGGCGAACGCCCTCCTATATCTATTCCAAAATCTCCCTGACAGTGGCTTCGGTGAGAATTCCACTATATAAAAGATAACAAGGCTTAGAAGTCATACGAGCGTCTCCTATCTAACCGAGGTTTATTTGCTACAGGCTCTATTTGTCGGCTTCAGCTTTTACCATGCGCAAAATACCATCCAAGGGCTCCAGAACCAGATGTACGCTGTGATGATGCTATTGAGTATGTTCGGACAGCTCAGCGAGCAGATTATGCCTCAGTTCATCAACCAGCGGGAGGTTTACGAAGCGCGCGAGAGGGCATCCAAGATATATGATTGGAAAGGTACGAGCTCCCTGCAGTGACTATCAGCGTTTA